ACTCCACTCTTCATCACCATCATTGTCTTCTTCTTCTTCTTCTTGTACCAAAACCATCCTACAAAAGTACCCATCAACACGCTCAACAATAACCCTATTCCCCATTCCATCTTTCACTAGAACGATCAGCTTCTTCTCTGAAATGAAACCCTAGTTCTAGCTAAAAATAAGCTGCAAAGGTTTTTTTTTTTTTTTTTACAGTGTTCACCTAGTCACTCCTTTAGACTAGTTATTCATCCAGCTCTTTGCACTGTTCTGAAAATAAAGTAGAAGAAAGGAGAAGAGAGAGAGAAATAATACTTGTCCTTGTAAAGGGTATTGAATGAGAGGAGGTGATGGCTATCTTAGTGATAGATTCGGGAAATCTAGAGGTTGCACCTATATATTACTAAATGAGTTTGGCCATATTGGGCGCACCAAATGCTCCACGCTTGTTCATTTTGTCTTCTCTTCATTTAGATAGAGATGTGCCCGTCCCTCCTGCTTTGGCTCACATAATAGAGGAAAATGAGTGGGGTAGGATTAAAGGGGTTGTTGTTCTCCCTCTCTGATAAATTAATGTTCCTGTTTGGTTTTTAAAATCTTTTGAAGTAAATACAGTTCATCTTAACAAATTATGTGAAACTCTAACCTGGATACAAATCATATCTCCTTTATGTTTTCAGCAGTGACGAGGGAATGAATCCAACTTTGGTTGACACTTGTTACCCAACGTGTTAAAAAGTTAAGAGAAAGTTAAATGAGGGAGGTGAAGTCTACTGTAGGTGTTACCTTCTCCCAAGCTTTAGAATTCGTGGGGAAAGCCCACTGGGTCAAGCTTGCGGGCGCCGAAATTGTCAGACCTTTTATTGATCATCAACTTGTCTTCATCATTCTTCAGTCTCAGTGTCATCACCACCCACCCATCCACCCACTCGATCTCTTTCTCTTTTCCGTTTTCTCTCTTTTTCATGCATTTTTATAGTTTATGAGAATAACCATCTTTTGAGGTAACTGTTTAGAGTTATGACCCAAGAAGAAGTAGAAATGTTTTGTCTTGTCTTTGTCAATGGATGACTGCCAGTTGCCATAGTTGAAACTTTGAAGCAACAACAAAAAAGGTGGTTCGTTCTCCTGCATGTGAACCATGTGGGGGTTGTGCAATGGAGGCTGGCAAAAGGGGAGAACATGCGGTGTGCTTTGACCCACTTTTACTTAATTATGATGATTAGTGAAATTATTTATTATTCTTTCTCGCTACTTTACTCTCTCAATCATGAGAGCGCCATAGCTTCAGTGGAATCCTTGCTGCATTATATGTCTCAACCTGAGGGTCATTTTTCTTGTAAATGATTTTCCTGAGGTTCAGTCAGAAAAAAGTCATGCGGAGCTTTGGATTTCAATCTCGAATAGATTTATTCTTTCTTTCTCCTTTTATAAAAAGGAATTTAAAGAAAAAAAGAGGACAGTTTGCATGTCAACATCAGTTTATGATTTCTCTGTTCTCCGCCAGACGAGGTAGATAATTGTTATAGTTTTTCAGGCTTAACAAATAGCCAACCGTCCATAGTAAAGATGGTGGCGCAGTAGGGCCTAAGAATCAATTTCTACTTTCTACCATGCATAACAGCAGCCAGCAGCAACATGGAGATTGGGAACAAAAGGAAAGAGGAAAAATCGGCAGCCACAATTGCCTTTGTCCTTTCTTTATTGCATTAATTATTTACATATTCTTTGCTAAAAAAAAAAGTTATTGACATATTCTGTACCACATTCGGGAAAAAAATACAGAATAAAGCATCTCTAAGCCATTTGAAGCAGCAGCTCCAAATAGCAAATTTCAGACCCTACTTGGTATTTTCTTGGGCTTTCGTGCTCAAAGTCTTCCTTGGCCGGAGCAATCTAAGCACAACATTTACAACAAATCAATAGCTTGCAAAAACTATTAATCGCCTAGCAACAAATGTCAATTCTACAGCAAGAAGTTATTCTAGCATTACGAAATAAGAACGAAACTGCTCGTAATTTCTTGTCACAGCAGTAGAAGGCCGCTGGTTTTCAACTACTGCTACCACAGGCAACTGCTGCTTCCTCCACATTGTTGTAAAATGTGCTTAATTTAGTTATAGCAGTGCCTCTCCAAAAAGTGATGCTTTTGTGGACTTTGTTATATGAACTTCTACATAATCGCCAACGTCAGGAGTCCTTCTGTTATCCACTTGATCATCGTGATCTGGCAAAGGAAGATTAACAAATGAAACTCTATGGCCTCTATCACTTTTGCCGATAAGCTCTGTTTCTGGAGTTCTCCTGCTTGGTCCTTCAACCAGCACAAGTTGGATGGTTCACACTTGAGAGTCGTAGTGCTGACCGGTACTCCCATGGAAAGCCTCAATAAGTTCAGTATGCCTCCTTTGCTTGAATTCTTCAGGAACGTCATCAGAGTAGTTTCTATAGGCATATGTTTTCTCTCCCTCATGCTGTATGCAAACATGTATGCCATATCATAACCAACAGCCTTTATTAAGCTTAGCATGCCTGCATGTTCCTCCTCTGTTTCACCACAGAAACCTGCAGAAAGCAATCCAGAAAATAAGAGGGCATTTCAGGAAAGTGCAGGTTAACATGCTTATAAGGTGAAGATGTGTTACAGATAGCAACCCTAGCAACAGTGCATCTTTGGATCATTTAACACCAACAGCCACAGTAGACTCACTAGGCATAATTTTGCAAAAGATATGAACGAACAACGGAACAGAAAATTTTAGTTTTTCATAATAGATTGATAGGGATATTTATTACCTGCTATTCATCAGCGGTGATGTGCCCAGTATGCTCTCTACCAACCCTAGAATCTGAGGCTCTTTGTCAGAAGATTAAGCTTAAATATATTTTTAACTCCTACTTTAACAAAGCATGCTTCTAAATTAAGTATATGAACTTGGCTCACACTATCACAAAAGGTGGTAAGTCTAATTTTGCAGTCTCCTTTCACTTAATTAATAAGCAGACACCTTGACTGCAGAAGTTAATGTAGAAAAGCATTTTTCCAAAAACAAAAACAGTAATTTGTATCGCAATTTGCATATTAATCTATAGAAGTATGCTCGAAACCAGTGAAGACAAAGCTGTGATACTTTGTAAAATAAATATAAGAAACTAATAAATTCTCTGTAAAAACATGCAATCCACCATACTAGGCAGCAGAAATGGAGAAAAACAAAATAATCAGGGCTCATTTTTGTAAGAGAGAAGTCTTTGGTCCTCACTAAGAGCTCAGCTCAATCACCATTACACCTAATTAAAACAGTTTTAAGTTTGTTCAAAAGACCCAACATCACATATCCAAGCTGACAATGTGATCAAACATCTGGTTAATTGCAATCCTTTATGTAAAAAAGCAGGGAATTGATGTGAATTTAGGCTTTAAGTAACATTCCAGGAAATTAAGATTGTAGAAAATTAAACTAGAATCATTATGGAAGATTAATTCAGAACTCAACAGGGTTATTTGCTGAGTAGTAGCTTTTAGAATAAATAATAATTGATGTCAATCCTTCATACTTAAAAGGTCAACTGCCTATGTTTCAAATACAAGTATATAACCAAAATATTAAAATCAGAATAACATAATAAAACCTTGCCACATATGAAATCACTGCTTATTATTACGTCTGGAATGATTCTGCATCTTCTAAACAAGCTCTAAATAAGCCTCTCTATTATATTCCCGACGCATTCTTTCAAGCACTGTGGTACTCCCTATCTGTGCAGGCAAATGTATACACTTGCAGATATTATGGCGGACTCGCATCAGATACAGCAACTCATCCAGAAAACCTTTAGGATGTGGGGACGTGTATCTGAACCTCGTCTCTGGAAAATCAGCAGAAAGTCGATCTAAGAGATCAGCAAAATGCAAGCCCATAATTTTCACCTTACACATACTTCTAAAGCCTTCGCTCAACGCCCAATTATTTCCTGGTTTAACTTCTTTTTCACTTCCAATGCATCACTATAAATATTCACATTCTGTCCAAAAGTGTTACCTCCTTCACACCTTCTTTCCAAAGCTCCCCCACCCCTTCACTATAGACTCCACAGGACGAGACCTCTGTCCACCTCTAGTGAGCAGAACAATACAAAACGAGCACATATTGTTACATCCCATCATCACAGACACAAAAGCCGTCTTTTTCAAGCGAAAGAAGAGTGCTAATCCCTTTCTGACCATAATCAACCGCTTCCAACAGGCAACAACCTCGGTAAATCTCCGTAAGCATCGGATCCACATACCACATCAACCATCTTATCAGCAACCAGAATCCTATCCTTTAACCTGTCAGCCATACAGCCTAACACCACCACTTTCGGAGGGTGCAGCGACTGTGATCTTTCTATATGTACATTACTCTTCCAATGTCTCTTTAACACCAAAAAAAATTAAGCCCTTGCTACACTTTTCGTTCAGCATTTTCCCTTATGTACATTACTCTTCCACTGTTTCATGATATCCAGCATTCTTCATAATTGAAAGCACAATTTCAATATCATTTATATTCATTTGTGATCGAAAAGTCTCGTGATAAATTCTATCTTTTGTTGAGAGGCGGTAGGGGAAGGTTGAGCTATGAAGTGATGGAGAGTGGGGTTATCTGTGTTGAGGAGGTGGTGAGATTGAGAGCAGCTTCTGGAAGCATCGAAAGCGAAGGTTTTTCTGATTGGCCTATGCGAGAAATGGCGATGAGAATTGGAATGGGAAGCAAAAGGCTTTGAAGAGAAGAATCTAAGAGTGTTAAAGCAGCACCGTCGATGGATTTTGATGCAGCAGCCAGGTTGGCTCAAAATAGAGGCCATTGGAACCACCTGGATTTGCTTCTCCGACGCAAAAATACTTGATAGTGGAAATGGAAAAGAATGGCTCGAAACGCAGCGTTTTAGTCCAAGCAGAGGGAATGGGGGTATTATGGTCATTTGGTTGAATATATTGGTAAAGATTGCGTAACTGCAACGTTAGCGGATTTGATTGGCACAACCGGAAAAAGAAAAAAAAAATTGAAAATGGAGAAGTGGAGAGCTACAAGCAATCTCCGGCGATCATTGAAATCGGTTCTCAACCGTCGATTAAGTCCTGGTTCAGGTATCATCAGCTGCCTTCGTTTCGATTCCTTCTTTTGAACCGTTCTTTAGAAATTTTGAGTATTGTTGTAAAATTAATTTACTTAAAGATCGTTCTGTTTTTCATCAGATTTTACGTATTTCAATGAAAAGAGGAGTTTTCCGGCGCGATTCAATCCGATCAGAGATCAGAGAAGTCTCCGAGAAGCGAATGCGATTCAGTACAGATATTTCAGTTCAGTGTCGACGCTTGTTCAAAGAAATCCTTCATTTTCGACCTTAAATTCCGATGACATCAGTTACTTTAAGCGGTTACTAGGAGAGAAAAATGTTATTCAAGATGAGGATAGGCTTGAAACTGCAAATACGGATTGGATGCACAAATACAAAGGCTCCAGTAAGCTTTTGCTTCAGCCTCGAAGTACTGAGGAGGTTCACTTTTCAAAATTTCGATTGTCAAAATTTGTTATTTCTTCTGTACTAAGATTACATTTGGTGCATAGGATGATGAATAAAATAGGATAGAATAATAATCATCCTATAATATGTTTGGTTTATATCTAAAGAAAGGGATAGGATTATAAGGAAGATTAATCATCCTCTTGGTATAGGATGATTCGATCTCTTTGGGAGATAATTATTTTTAATCCATGAGATTGAACTTACATATGTTATTGTATATTTGAAAATTACAGTCATGTTTGGTGCATAGGATAATGGATAGGATACAATGCTAATCATTTTATATTATGTTTGGTTTGTATCTAAATAAAGGGATATGATTACAAGAGGATTAATTATCCTCTTGGTATAAGATGAATCAATCCTTAAAGGATTATTTTTAATCAATGGGATTAAACTTATATGTCTTATTATGCCTTTAAACATTATATCAATAATTTAAATTGTATAAACTTTGAAAAAGGATAATTTTGACCAATAAATAAATTATCTTATTCTAATACTTGCACACATCAAACAAAGGGTATGATGACATTATTTAATTTAATCTTATTTATGATATCATTTTATCCTATCCTATCATAATCTTGTTTACCAAACAAATCAGGGTCATGTTATTTATTTTTATATGCAATTTTATATTGCAGGTATCACAGATTCTTAAATATTGTAACTCAAGGTGTTTGGCTGTTGTTCCCCAAGGGGGAAATACTGGTCTTGTTGGTGGGAGTGTGCCTGTTTTTGATGAGGTAATGCCAATTATTTCCAATTATTGATCAATAATCTGTTGTGTGATACTATTTTTGGTGGATTCTTTCTTCTTGTTTTGTATTTAATTAATTGATTTTGCTGATATAAGTCTTCAGGTGATTGTCAGTGTTGGTTCAATGAATAATATCATAAGTTTTAACAAGGTATGCTTTTATGTTATTTGTCTGTTTGTTCCTTGCTTGTTCCGTTTCTTGCCAAGTATAGACACATAAGGACCTTCTTTCAATTTGAATTACGGTTGTACAGTTTGGATCTTACTTACCAGAAATTACTAGGGCCCTTATGAATTTGTTATTGGACTTCATGAACAAAGAAGAAACAGCGCCTAGTAATGAAATCCTTGTGGTATAAGATATTTGAGTATCTTATAATGATAATATTAAACTATAGTCAAATTTCTATAGGTCCTAATTAATCCTGATTAATTTAGAATTCTAAATGAAACCACCTTAAATAAAGGAAAAGAAAACTCCCCACACTATATATATGAAAGATTTTTGTATGCTATATTTCAGGTCAGTGGTATATTGGTATGTGAAGCAGGATGCATACTAGAAAATCTTATCTCTTTCCTGGACAACCAAGGGTAATTGCCTGCTATACTGTCAATGTCCTTTCTTTCTTAATGGACCTGTAATGATGTTTGACTCTAGATCCATACTCATACCCCTGTCACCTATATCTGTGGATATTGATATGTCTTCGCTCATGATATACGATGCTTTATTTCAGATTTATTATGCCTCTGGACTTAGGTGCAAAAGGAAGCTGTCAAATTGGTGGAAATGTTTCAACTAATGCTGGTGGTTTGCGTCTTGTACGTTATGGTTCACTTCACGGGAATGTACTTGGTAAGAAATCTGCTTGTTGATTGGACTTCGAATTTCAATGTTTGGACATTTATTTTCTTCAATTTCCCCCTTTTTGGCCCCTTAATTCCTGCAGTATAAACGTACAGAAGGTGGGTCTGCCAATCAGAAAGGAAAAATGAAAAAGAGCCTGCTTAGTTATGCATACATCTGCTAATAGGAAAATATTACGGTGTTGCATTATCATCCAGCGAGTTATATAAGGTTATATCATAATTTCTGAAGCATTATCGCAGAGCTTCATTTGTCCTATGGTTGGAGTTTGGTGACTGATAGCATGGTGTATAAATTTTGAACTATCTTTAAGGACGATAGCCTTAACCCTGTGTGGGCTTCATTGAACAAATTTACATTGATTTTTCCAGTAGGGTTATGTGTTCTAAATTGCAAATCTAAATAGTAAACAATAAAAATAAAAATGGCTATTAGGTACCTTATGTTATATTCCTATATCCTGTCGCCAGAGATATGCCTGTTTATTATTGTATTTTCAGGGTTTGTGATTCATGGTTGTTTAGACTGAAGTCTCAAGTATTTTTAGTTTCTTTTTTTGATGCTTCAAACTGAAGTGCTTGAAGCTTATTCTGTAAAAGAAAAAGAAACATGAATCTATGGACATGGATTAATGTTAATGTTGGAATGATGTGGAAGAAAAGATCTTGAAGTTAAAGAGCTGAATATTCTAGCCATTTAACTATTACTAACATGATGACTATTCCAGAATTCAAAGACCTACTGTCAACTTATCTTGCAATCTTTGATAGTGGAGATCTTTAGAATTTGTTTTGCTAATGCCAGTTTTAACTGTAGCATGCTTTTCCCATAAATTTGTAGGTGTTGAAGCTGTTTTAGCAAATGGTGATGTGCTTGATATGCTTGGGACTCTGCGTAAAGATAATACTGGGTATGACTTGAAGCATTTGTTTATAGGTGGGCACCATATGATTTAGTAGTGGATTGTTGCAAGTATATTTTTCAGTAGAGTATTCAACTTCCTTTATATTTCTTCTATCATCAATGTAGGAAGTGAAGGATCTCTGGGAATTGTAACTAAAGTTTCTATACTGACCCCTCCCAAGCTGTCTTCTGTGAATATAGCTTTTCTTGCATGCAAAGATTATTCTAGCTGCCAGGTTTGATCTACTTCCATACCCTAAAATATCATTTCTTGGGAACAATTTATGCTAAATTAATGCTGAATAATAGGATAATAGACATCGTTGTTATCTGCTTACCATTTTCTTTCTTCTGTTTATTAGAAACTTCTCATGGAAGCGAAAAGAAAGCTGGGGGAGATTCTGTCTGCTTTTGAATTTTTGGATAACCAGGCAATGAATTTGGTTAGCTTTCTGTGGCATATTCCAACTCTTTTCCCAGTCTGTGCATCATTTATTTTTGCTGCTAAAATCCTTTCTTTTGATTTTCATATTTTGACTGGACTAAGGGTTGTTGAAAACTGTTTTCCTGATTTATTACAGTCCTGCAAGCTTTGTTTTTTATGGTTGAATGGAGGCCGGAATAGAAGCATTGCTAATTTTTAGTACTTTCTCTGTCTGCTTCCTACTTATTGCATTATATCTGCCAGGTTTTGCATCATTTAGACGGAGTTCGGAATCCATTACCTGCCTCAATGCACAGCTTCTATGTTCTGATTGAGACAACGGGCAGTGATGAATCTTATGATAGGTAAATCTTTGTCAATTGGTTCTTATTCATGTATTGGTACTAAACTTTCTCTTTATGCATCTTTTCACTATCCTTTATCTCCAGCATTCATAATAGGAGAGGCACAAACTTAACTGAAGTTCAAATGATGATTGCAAGGTCAAAACGAAAACAACTAACAGATTAAGCTTACTTCTTGAATTGAATGTGCATTATTGGGTGCTTTATGCTGTCAAATGATCTTTCATTAACTATTTTATTGACAACAAACATATTTATTTGGTTTCTTGTGGCTTCTGGTGTCTCTTCCTGAATAAAACGAAAAAAAAAAAAAAAGATCACTAGATGGGTATACCTCTGTGGATTCCTTCTAGTATCTATTTTCAGCTATCGGCACCCTTAATATCTCCATTAGTTTACAAAATTATAAGAATTCCTGCAGGGAGAAACTTGAGGCCTTCTTACTTAGCTCAATGGAAGGTGGTTTGATTTCTGATGGTGTTCTTGCACAAGACATAAACCAAGCATCCTCGTTTTGGCGAATCCGTGAGGTTCCCACTTCAATACCACATATTTCTTCCTACATATTTTTAATTGATAATCATCGGGGATGCTGCAAATATCTTGTGCATGGATTTAGTTGTAAGGTTCCTTCTCTTATGTTGCAGGGTGTGCCAGAAGCTTTGATGAAAGCTGGTGCTGTTTACAAATATGATTTGTCATTGCCTGTCGAAAAGATGTACAATCTTGTGGATGACATGAGAGTAAGACTTGGTAAGCAAAGTTGTTATTTAACTATCTGTTAAATACTTTCTTTCTTCTAACTGGCAGTACATCATGGCTTTCTGTTTTTAGTATTTCAATGTGATTTTGTCGTTAGAAAATTACTTATCCAGCATTTCACAGAATACAAACGTTTTTCAAAATCCGATCTTTATCTGCATCTGAAATTTTCAGGTAACTTGGCCAAAGTAGTTGGATTCGGTCACCTTGGGGATGGAAATTTGCACCTTAATATTTCTGCTCCACAGTATGATGATACAGTAAGGTCCTTCCTTAAAACTTGGAGTATGCTTCCATATTTTTATTAATCATCTGTAATATTTTAGATTTTAGAACAAATTGAACCATATGTCTATGAGTGGACATTTAAGCACCGAGGGAGTATCAGTGCCGAACATGGCCTGGGACTGATGAAAGCTAACAAGATTCATTACAGTAAATCTCCTGAAACTGTGAGTTTTCCTCTAAACGCAAAACGATACTACAAATTTCTGTTTGCTGGTTTCTTTTCTGGGAGCTCATGGTTGCTTCATGAAGAGTTTCTAAAGGGAGAATCTGTTTGGATAGGTACAAATAATGGCTTCCATTAAAAAGTTGCTTGACCCAAATGGGATACTCAACCCATACAAAGTTCTTCCTCACTGACTCGATTCATAGAGATGGGGCAGGGAACGCGACCACGAAGCCTATTTTTCAGTCTCACCACAAAGAGGATTTCTAACAGTTTCAAACATGCAACGAAAAAGATGCGTTGATGGAGGTGAGCTTAAAATAGGAAAAGGCGAGCCCCAAGCAGTTTCCATGAAGAATATTGATCTGGAAAACAAAGGGCACCGCTTCTGATATTACCATTGAATTTGGTGTAATCATTGAATAAGCGATGGACCAGCAAAATATAAGTTGAACTTCGTTGCACCAGCAAAATGTTTATTAAGCTTTTCTGTAATGTGATTTTCTATTAAAGTTGATGTGTCTTGAATCTTTCTTAATGTGCACCGATCGGCATTGGGTGGTTTATAGGCAAACAAGTTGAAGTTCCAAGGGCCCAAAAACATTTTTGCCAGTTGCATCATCCATGAACTGATACTAACAGCTAGCCACTTCTCAGTTTTCCTTCAAACCCCAGCCAATATATTTGGATAGCACAACTTTTCCCACTAGTGAACAGGTAAAAGCAATGATGGTTTGACATTCTTTGTGCGTTCATTAATTTGTTATGTTGTAAAGCAGAATATATGTTTATCCAAATGATTTCCAAAGAGACAGATTGCAAAGGAAGAGCATTCCAATTAGCAAGGCTGGAATATGCTTTGCCATGTCCAAAGATTCTTAAATGGAGAGAAAGTGAAAAGTAAGATCCTCCATTCCTACGTTGGTTGTTCCTTGTTGCTGTCGCTTTGCCAAAACGAGGATGTTTGGTTTTAGTTTTTTTTTTTTTTATTATTGATAAACAAAAATTTAAGATAAACTTGATAATTACAAATATAATATAATGATGTGATATGAAATTAAATAAAAAATATAAAAATAATATGATTTAAAATTTTAATATAATTTATAAATAAATTTAACATAATTAAAAATATATATTTTGTTTTTTTATTTACATAAATTATAATACGTAATTTTTATATATAATATTATATGAATATATAAATTTTTAATATTTTATATTATATGAATATATTATTTTGTTATGTTTAATTAAATATTAAGATAAATAAAAAGAAAAAGAAATTTAGGTTTTTGCGGTCTTTAATAGTACAAACCGACATCGTTTAGTGAACTCCTTTGGCGAGATGAAAAACCGCCTTGACAAAAATAAGATAACAAGAAAAATAATAAAAAACTGTCGATAAAATAGAGAGAGGGTGGGTAACAGAAAGAGGGTTCAATTTTATGCCGCATAAATCGTCGCTCTTTCTCTTTGTCGCTTTTGTCTAATAGGAAGAAAAGCTTTCTGTCTTGCTCAAAAACTCTCTCTTTCTTTGTTGATTGATATTTTTTTCTTTGAAAGAGAGGGCCAAAAAAACTATAGCCAAAAGGCCACGAAAAGCATGACGAGCTCCTCCGCCTCCACTCGCAAGGTTGATCCTCTCACTTCAACTCTCTTTCTCTTTTCTTTTTTTTTGTTTGAATTAATTTTGTGGGGATTTGATTGGTGTGGTGTTCAAGGCGCTGAGTAAGATAGCGTGCAATCGGCTGCAGAAAGAGCTGGTAGAGTGGCAGGTCAACCCTCCTTCCGGTTTCAAACACAAAGTCACCGATAATCTCCAAAGGTATTATTTCATTCATCATTTTTTTCCCTTTTTCATTAGATCTTCTGCTTCCCGTCGTTGATTTCTTTTTTTTTTCTGTTGTATTGGATACAAAAATTAAGGTGGGTAATTGAAGTAAATGGAGCTCCAGGAACTTTATACGCCAATGAAACCTATCAACTTCAGGTGGATTTCCCTGAACATTACCCCATGGAAGCCCCCCAGGTTTTTTTTTTTTTTTAAATCCCTTTTTTAATTTCTTATTTTACAAGCTTGTCTCTTTTTTTTATAATGATTTTGCCCTTCTGTTTTACCTTTTTTGGGGTTATTGGTGGCAGGTGATATTCCTTAATCCGGCACCTCTGCATCCGCATATTTATAGCAATGGCCATATTTGTTTAGGTAATAATCGACATTAATTTGCCATAAAATGCTCTGTTTTTTAGTGATTTTCGATTTCTCAGATGTTTTTCATAGATTTTTTTTTTGTTTGCAATTGATTATGATCTGATTTGTCTCTTTGCTTCATCTTCATGTTATCTATTATCCTTTGAAAGTGATGGTTTTTTTTCCATACTGTTGCCTCCGTACTAATTTGTTGTTACCTTTGAAAGTGTTTTCCTTTACATTCTTAGAAAGATCTTTGATGGTTATGTGAGAGTATTTTTCTGATATTTAGAAATTATTGTATCATGTATCTATCTTCCTAAAAATATATGGAGAAATGGTAAGTTCAATTTCTAAGTCTCCAAATATTCACTGCAACTGGCAACAGAAAACCCTTGTTAGCTTTGTCTCAAATAGTGTATGATAATAGGGAAAAGAAATGGTAAAAAGAAACTTAAAGATGCTTGCCTTCACCGGGTGATATAGACGCTCTTTCCTTTGTCATGAGCTTTGTGAGACTTAAACAGAAACTGATTTTCTTTTATCTTGTTTTCTATGAAAGGGGAAGTTGAAAAACTATAATCTTGCTTTTCCACCTCCTTGTTCCTGGCTGTATTATGATGTTATTGTTCTGTTACAGTAATGGGGTAATGTTAGGTTTCTGTGCTGCATTCTTTTGAAGCACATGGCATCATTCTCATGGCCTTTACAATGTCAACTTGCTTGTTAATTCTTTTTTGTGGTTTCTTAAACTGGAAAGGGAGGGGGGGGGGTAATAATAGCTTGTGAAATGAGCTAAGGATAATGTTTTTATCTACTTGCTGTGCCTTTTCAACATTTTGTGCTAAATTCAAAGTATAATTGATTTTGTTAGTTTAACAAATGTTTGTAATAATTTAACAAATCTCTCTCTCTCTCTCTCTCTCTCTTTCTCTCTCTCTTACACACACACACACACACATGCACATTCACGCACATTGGTAATAATGTTGCTCAATTTCCACTTTTTTGTTCGTTACCTAATTTTTATTGTATAACTTGCGACAAGAAAGACATAATACAGGATTGTTCCATTGTATTTTGTAGATATCTTGTATGATTCATGGTCCCCAGCCATGACAGTTAGTTCTATCTGTATCAGCATTCTCTCCATGCTATCGAGCTCAACTGTGAAGGTTTGAACTTTGAATGTACATTCAATTGACTTTCTGGAGTGCTTTCTTATTCCAGTATGTCTTCATGCCATGCTTGTACCATGCATAGGGCACTACTGGGAATGAGCACTACTGTTTTTGTAAATAATGGGGATATTGATATCGTATTTTTGTTTCTTTAAATCCAGAACTCTTTTTAATACTTTTAGCCATGCATGCAGCAATGTCCTGAAGACAACGATCGCTATGTAAAGAACTGTAGAAATGGCCGGTCGCCCAAGCAGACCAGGTGGTGGTTCCACGATGACAAAGTTTAATTGCAAGAGTATCTCCCTGCATCGATTATTCGATAAGAACTAGAGTAGACAAACTGCTTCCTCTTTTAAGGAAAACGGAAACAAAAGGAGAAAGCATTTTCCCAATCAAAGTTAAATGCTTAATAACTTCTGTAAATGCTTATGCTGGTATTTGGTAAGGAAAGAGAAAAGTCGGTCTTTCTTTGGCAATGGTGTTTAACCTGTGTGAGAGATGCTTGGTGCCTTGTAAGCACATGAATGAGAAACTCTCTATCTTTCTGAAACTATTTTCTGAACTTCCTGAGTTTTATAATTATAACTTGGCAGCAGATGAGACTGATGGTTCATCCAAAGGCGAAACTTGAGTCTTGTTTTAGAGCCTTATGTATGCTGGATCACTTTCATTAAGTAACTTTGCATTTTATTTGAAAAAGAAAAAAAAAAAGGTAACGGTGGTTTCCAGTTACTTTGATAAATGTGATTGTGATCATGCAAACATTTTCCACAAATACAATTATGCAAAGTGGAACAGCAAATACACGGCTCCAATCTCCAGTGATTTTTTTTATTATTATTTTTTTTCATATTATTTGAGATTTATCTTTGTTCCAGGGTACAAACTTATTGATAGCAGCAAAGAATCACTGAAATTCTTCAAGGAAAATCGGAAGGATAGCTTATAGAAAGAATCTATCGTCAAAATTTAGTTCTACAACAGGTTGTGTAGAATCAAGAAATAATAGCGGTGATTGATTATAATGAAAACCTATATATGAACTCGGCCGTGCCTGCAAATCAATGTCACCTGACTGTAATCCTGGCAATCATACATCAATATCAGTCATTCTGCATTTGAACAAACCATTCACAAATGCCTTACACTTCTTATTTGTCGCATTTTCCTCATAGGAGGTCTAGCAAAGTTAAAAACCAAAAATAATTTGTTATCCAAATTGCATAAGATAATTTTTACCAAATATAGTAGAGCAGCATCAAATTAACAATAAAAATATTGCCCACAATTAAATACTCATGACTTCCATTAATAATCACCTTCTTCCTCTTTTTCCATGGTTGTCTCGACCATGTTCTAACAGAGGTTGTAGCACACTTCTGCTTCGTTCATGGGTTCCTAAATCATTCACCAACCCTTTGTTCATGTACGTATACTCTTGTAGGTTTCTTCAATTGCCTGAAATGAATAATGTGCCCCCATCATTTTCCGATGCATATCATTGTAATTTTGGTTTAACATTGTTCATTTGTTAGTCATCATCACTACAAATGTTAGGTCGTCAATACACTACCTCCCACTCTCTAATTAATAAAGAATTCAGCTCAAGAGTATCGACCAGTTCAGAAATCATAGTACCAGACAAGTGAAGACAGATTGAGAGGAATTCAGCTATATAGTTTTCAAATCGCAATCTGAAAAGAAAAATTATCATATACACACGAATAATAGAGTCATTCAACTTTACAGATGGGATTTATTCGAGTTTTTTAACTTTACAAATGGAATCTATATGTGTTTCAAGGTCCAATACTGATGCATTTGAATCGTTTGCTCATAAGAAAGGTTGGAAATGACACGGATGGTTTGTGAACTTGATAATCTGACATATATTAATCTTATCATCCATGACAGAAGGTTTTATAAAGCCATCATATTCTGAAGTTTGCATCAATCAACAGTCTTTGTATTGCATTTTTCTAACAAAATAAGTTGTTGTCAGAACAGCAGTGGGCCAGTGGCTATATATCCTGTGACTATAATATTTTCACCGCTTTCAAGTAGTCAAAGACAGTATTTATTTAGTTAAATGAGTCAGATGTATAAACAATAAAGCTGGAATTCCGGTGCAGAAACCAGCCTGCATGTATGAGAACACATCTCCTATAATACTCTGCCTGTTGTATTTTATCACAATTTTGTAAGGAGCGCTTATTACTAGTAACCTGCGCATATAAGTTACAAACAAGGCTATATAGTATAAACTAGTTTATTAAAGTTATCTAATTGATTCCAGGGAGCTTCGTCTTGATCTTCTCAAGTATTCCTTTCTTCTCATGGTGCTGGGACATTCTTTTCATCTTCTGCTGTTGCCTTTGTTCAGCTGTTGGGGCAGCAGGAGATTTGTCTTTTATAATCATGTCGCCTTCCTCAGACTGCATATGGAATTAATATTCAAATATTAAAGCGTTTATCTCAAGAAATTAATCAGAACTATATTCTCTATGGTATGATGCTTATAACTGCTAAATTCTCAAGTGTGCTATTGTATATTTTTGTAATTAAGTGTGATATAGTTTTAAATTATTAATGAGGTTTTACCCTTTTCTTTTTCAAGAATGAGAGTTTTGTACATTGGCTTTCTTATCATTAAGCATTGTGAAAGCTTTAATTCGATGAAATAGGAGTCAATCTTTCAAGCAAATCCATTTCGAAGCCATTTATTACAAGCACAAAGTAGAAATGCAAATGGCAAATTAAGATCATATATATGGTTAAATTCTCATATAAAAAACATGTTCATAGATAAAGAGAGTTGATAATGGAGTTATGATAAGTAAACATGAGCTAATTGAAAGAAACCAACCGTCATCTAGATAGAAAGTAGGTAATTAGGCTTACAGATGGAGAGCTTGACGAGGAGGATGAGCTTGAGCGATGTAGGGGCTTGCCAAGGATATATTGCCTTTCTTTGTTGCAGTATCCTTCTTGCCGCTATCATTAATTGTTTCAAGTTTTGGCATCGGTTCCTCAGTACTTGTCATTTTGTTATCCTTGGCCTTTCTCTTTTCTTTATGCATTCTGCGAGCTTCACGTTGAACACGCTGGAATTGACTTCGATCACGATCTGCCGTGGCTATTTTTCTCTACTTAGTTCAAAGCGAAGGAGGATTTTGGTATTGACTAAACCTGAACTGCAAGGGTTTATATAGGCAAGATAGGAACAATATTGTAGTAAATCAAGAGCTTATCGTGCATGTTGGCCATGCACAAAACCTAGAGGCGTAACGTAATGCACTTGCGTTGGCTTGAGATAAACGAAGAGATTAAGTCGACCACCAAAACCTGGCATTGTCAGGCGTGCATGAAGATTCAGACAAAACTAGCTAGAACAGCTCTAACAAGGCAACCCAGGATAAATATTTTTGATACAAGTGATTTATACGGTGGGGAGCTAGCTAGGGAGGTCTTTGGTCGTAGCTAGCAGTCGAGGATTAAGCGAAAAGCTTACGTTTTTTTAAAAGGGGAAATATAAATATAGTAGCTTCTCTGGTGCTTGAAAATGGGGAATACAATTTCTGAAAAATGAAACCTGCTTCTCTGGCACATTCAAGGCTATTTGCAATTGATCAATACTAAAGGTAATACTCTATATAAAAGCCCTTTTCTTTTCAGCTTTGAATAAGAAAGGGAGATGCTCTCTGTTAAGCTTTATGTGCTATAATTGTTGCTAGGAAGGATCCTACAAAGTTTACTCTTTCCTTTTCCAATGATTTTCGTTCCTTTTTCTTTCTTTCAGAAAAGTTCTTTGCCAGAACACATGACATTTACTCGATCTGTAAATCATTTGCCATTGGATAAAGTATCAGAGAGAACAGCAATTTTAACTCGTGTAAATTTTCCTGAAAAAGATAAATATACAGAAAGTCACATGTTTCTCAGCCATCTTCACAATTGCACTAGAATTAAGTCCTTTCACAGAAGTATTAGTATACCTAGCCATAAACATAAAGTATATAGCAGTTGTTTGTAAACACTATTAATTGTTGATAGTGTAGCCGGTGAGTAAAGTGTATATATGATGTACTTGAGGGAGCATATTCCTACGATAATTTTCTTATAATTAATCAATAAAAATTAAGTTTAAATTAATAATTATATAACATCTATAAAAATTATATATGAAATTTATATTTATAAACCTGGATTTGGATTTCACCATACCTTTGGTATAGTGTAATTGAACTTATCATATCACTAGTTAAATCAAAATATCAACTTCAGTAAAATTTATTTAATATAAATTTTTTTTTATAATTTTTTTTTCAATTACAATTATTTTTATTATTATTTTTAATTTCAATAAAATTAATCTCATCATCCATCCAAATAGATCATAAATCAACTATCAAAACCTGACACTGTCCGTCGTACATGAAAATTCAGACAAAACTAGAACAGCTACAGTAAAGCAACCAGAGATAAATCTTTTTGATACGAGTGAGTTGTACATCAGAGCTACCTGTCTAGGATTAAGCGAAATTAAGGTATACGTTGTTTAAAAGGGGAAATGTAAAATATGGTATCTTTTTCTGGTGATTGATAATTTGTTCTGAATTTGCATCAATCAAATGAATTCTGCTTCCGTGGTACATGAAGGGCAATTTGCAATTGATCAATACCAAAGGTAATATTATATATAAAAACCCTTTTATTTTCAGCTTTGAATAAGAAAGAGCGATGCTCTCAATGAAGCTTTATTGTAATTTGGATGAACTATCACCTGGAGTCTGTCGATTCGGGGCATTGGAATTGAGCAGACTGAAATCCATTTCCAGTCCAACGGGTGTTGAACAGCAAAGCTTTACATGCTATACTTGTTGCTCGGATCGTACAAAGTTTAATCTTCCCTTCCAAAAAAATATAGGATTTTCCTTTCCTTTTTCCAGTGAAGTTATTTGCCAGAACGCATGAAATTTACTCTATCTATAGATCACCTGTCATTGGATAAAGTGTCAGAGAGAATAGTAAATTTAAGTCCGTCTGAATTTTGTTAGAAAAGCAAAATATACAAAAATCACCATGCATGTTTGTTACTTATCTTCAGAATTCCACTAGAATTCAATCCTTTTCACAGAATAACTATAAAGCATGTAACACTTGTTTGTAAACACTATGAATTGTTGATGCCAAAAATTAGGATGGGCCTAGAGCTGCTTATGGTTTGGGCCGGGTTTAGCATAATATTTGAGCATTTTAAACAAATTCAAGTTCAGCTCAGCCTTATTTTTCGACCCTTAGTTTTTGCTCTAAGTCCATTGCTTTATGTAATAATAAAGTTCAAATTCCTCTAAAATATTAGTATTTAAAATTGAAAAAAATAAAAAAATTTACTTTTTTTTATAAATTATAAATTTAATTAATTTTAATTAAATTTACAAGTTATTTGGGTTTGGATTAAATTTAATTTTGTTAGATGTAATTTAAAATTGAATCATTATTTTAATGTTTTGTATAAAAAAATAAACTTTATCCTATTATAAATAATAAAGTAAATGGATCTTGTTTAGCATAAAAAATAAAACAAATGTACTTCATCTCGTTATAGTAAAAATATTTTTTTGATTTTCGAGCAATGTTCAAGCTTTAAATGATAAAACTTAAGCTTGATCTTATTTGTTCAAATCTTTTTAATGAACTTAATATTAATATCTAAATCTTTTAAAATTTCAGATAAACTTTTAAGTTCAGACCAATAGGCCCGGCCTAAGAGCAGGTTTGGATGGGCCAAGGGTCTAGCTGCTGTGCAGAGTGCACATATGGTAAATGAATCTAGGAACTTGCTTTGCAACCATTAACCTGAGCAACCAACATTATCATGAAAAGCTTTAATTGGGCCAAAAAGCTAACCCCTAGTCATGCTGTAAAAAATTCTTTACTTTTGGAGAACCTCAGACCTTAAATTTTTTTACCCGTTTTGGGGCCTGACCTTAAACTTGTTAATGTCATACCAAAAATCATCATATTTTAGGCCGAAAAGGATGCCAAGTTTATTGTTGGGCCAAAATGAAGTGGAGTTCAGTTGCCTACAACACATCTTTCTTTGTTGATAGAAATCAACACTTGCAATTATAGTACAAAAAAAACCCACTTGGTAGTTGGTACTCAAAAAAAAAAAAAAAAGACTTATAAATCATTTTTTTTTTTTGCAAGTCAAAGCACTTTGACTTCTACAGTCTTTTCGTAATGAACTTGACATACCCAAGAACTTAATATCATCATATGCATTACAAAAGAATTGTAGAACGAAGTTCATTGTATTGGTGTAAGTATTTTTTATTGCATGTAAAGACATATTCAACAGACAATGAAATTAACATATCGTAAAATAAGTTTGATTGAAATTATTGAATTATAAAATTAAAATTATCTTCTTAAGTAAATAATTTATCCCATTTATAAATAAAAAATCTCAATAAATAATTTTGTTGATTTCCAATGTTAGAAAAAGCATACAATGATAATTAATCCCACTTCAAATCTTCAATAAAAGAAAAAAAATAATGTTAACAGTAGTTTTATCCTTCTCATCGGCACAATTGGATTATATATTTTGTTCAAACAAGTTGAACAGCTAATAAGATTATCCCAAATAGTATGCGTGGGGGAAATTCTATTAGCACCAACCTTCTGTTATTTAAAATCTAAAAATCTGCTGATCAATGAGGCTCAAAACAGGGAATGAGCAATGGGTGGATGGAACAGATTAGGTAGGGAAAAGAGGAGAGAGTGATTAAAAAACAAATCATGATAAAATAAATTTTAAAAAATAAAAAAGATAAGAAAAATATGGATGGACGCTTTGATCTAGTTTCACCTACCACACTACCTCAATCAACTCGTCAAAAAAGAGATTAAAAAATAAAAATAAAATGAAATTTTATAAAAATGTTGATGGTTTGACAGCCTAACGACTGCCATCTCAATCAATCAATTCCAAAGTCTCTTTTATTATTCTTTACAATTTTTTTATAATCCAAATTTATTCTTTAATTTATTTCAAGAAATCAAAGAGATGTATAACAAATCGGAGATTGAAACAATTACAAGACAGTTTCAATTATTTTAATAGATACGCTAATACACGAACTGGCATGTTTTAAAACTGAGTAATTGTTATGCATTTCTCCATTTCCCTTCCTGCTTGTCGTTTTCCTTGAGTCTGTCGAAAAAGAGTTTGAAGAAGCGAACTGATCGTCAGCGACAAAGGGTCCCACGAACTACTTGCGCAGCAAGGTGGCACGTCGGCGACACAACGATTTTTTATCTTCTTGTTTAAATAAAATCATGACAAGACTCTGAGGTGAAGCACGCTGATTTCCTCACCACTAGCCAGTTGCCAGTTTTGACATGTTTGTTTGGATTAGCGAAGAAATATTCCCTAATATGTGGCTCTAAAGTAACAAAGAAAAGCAGCCGATGACGGTGGATCCATGTAAAAAGAGCCATGGACCTGTATTAAAGTTTTGTTTCAGCAAAACCAAGTAAGACGAGCCCAGGAAATTAACTATGAAGCAATTTGATTTTGAACTTTTTTGCACAAATTATATGATCTTATTACATTTACATATACATAATATTCAAACAAAGTATTTAGAAGATAAAAGTCGCCGACTTGACGTTTTCCCCCTTTTTTATAGTTTCCTGGAAGCTGTTGATCTTAATACTATGGCCCAGTGTGCCAGGTTAAGTCCAGCAGTTCTCATTGTATCTTTTGCAGGCTCCTTCGTCCCTGATGGGACTAGTCATGACTCGTGACTGTATTGCTATTGAATATGGACACGACGAAGACTTTTCATTTTCATACACAATGCTTTTTTGCTATATAAGGAGTACTTAGTGTTACTTAGCCTTCAGTCGGCTACGTACTTGAACCTTTTCCTCTTTTCCTCTTGCTTTCAGCCTTCACTGTTTCTCTCTGTTTTCAAGAGCAGAACAAGTAAAACGCAGGAATGGCTACCCTGTTGAAAGAGCTACCTTCTTTTTCCGTTCTTCTCTCCGCTTATGCCTCTATCTCAGCCATGGTCATGCTAATCCGCACAATCTTAAATGAAATGGTTCCAGAACGGATGAGAGACTACATTGCCTCAAAATTTTCCGAGCTGACATCCACTTACTTCTCTTCAGAGTTCACCTTCTTTATCGAAGACCGCTGGCAAGCTTCTGATAACCAACTGTTTCGGGCTGCTGAGGTCTACTTGCCAACCAGAATTGGCCCTTCCAGCGACAGTCTACTTGTAGGTTTCAACGACTCCAATGAACCCACAGCACCACCCAAACGAAGCATCCCTGTAAATTGCACGATCATGGATGATTTTGAGGGGATACGCTTGGAGTGGACTTTCTCTTCAATTGAAACCAAAAAGTGCTACGTTCCCAATAAGAGATACTTCGCCGTGACCTGTAAGAAAAGCGCTAGAGAAAGAGTTGAGCAAAGGTACTTCACCTACATTAGCAAAGAAGCACAAGTAATTCTGAACAAGCGTGAGAGCCTCAGCATTTACACATATGACCAAGACTGCTCCATGTGGGAGTCCGCAGTTTTCAAGCACCCAGCAAAATTTGAGACACTGGCAATCGAGCCAAAGCTTAAGCAATTCATAATGGGTGATCTTGATTCATTTGGGAAACGCAAGGAATTTTTCGAAAATGTTGGCAGGGCTTGGAAACGTGGGTACCTTTTGTATGGTCCTCCAGGGACAGGAAAATCATCACTCGTTGCTGCAATTGCAAATTACTTGAGTTATGATATATATGATCTTCAGTTTCAAATTGTTCGAAACGATGCTGATCTTAGACGTATACTCACATCCACCACCAACCGGTCCATTCTGCTCATCGAGGACATAGATTGTAGCACAAATGTATCACGTGGTCGTGCCCAGGTCAAAGAAAAACCTGAGGATGAAGAAGATGATGAACCCAAAAGTCCTTCTGCTATCGATCCTGGGGTAATTCATTTGTTGATTGTTATTTCCTTTACACCTGTCTTTAGTCTTTACTTATCTTGGTTTGGTTGTAGCGGTCAAAGTTTTCAAATCTCTAATTTACCACAATTTTGTAGGTAACCCTGTCAGGCTTACTCAATTTCATTGATGGATTGTGGTCGAGTTGTGGAAACGAAAGAATCATAATCTTTACCACAAATCACAAAGAAATGTTAGACCCAGCTCTGCTACGGCCAGGGCGTATGGATGTGCATATTTACATGGGATATTGTACTCCAGCAGCATTCAGAAAACTTTCAACTACATATCTTGGAATCAAAGAAGCTGGAATCAAAGAAGCCAAACTATTCGGCTGCATTGATGAACTCATTGAAAGTATTGAAGTTACTCCAGCTGAAGTTGCACAACAACTTATGATCAGTGATGACCCTAAAACTGCACTCGAAGGTCTCATAGACTTTCTCAACGTGAAGAAGAAGAAGACAGAAGAGGGTGTAGTTGAAAAGGAGGAAAAGGTAGTTGAAAGACAAAATTCAAAGCCTACTGAGTCTGAAACAAGATGCATATATTTGACTTAGTTTAGCTGGTCGGGGAACTTATTAGCTGCTAAAAATCTTGGGTAGAAACCATATTCTGTTGCTTCATGGCAAGTGATTTATATGTAACTTTTTCAATATGCCCACAGCCAAAACTATAACACTCAAGATTTATGCTTCACAGATCAGATCACATCACATGCAATAAGAAGTTAGCTGGGTTGTTGGAATGGAGTATGATCTAATTATGGCAAATCAAAGAACTTTGATCATAAGAAATATATAAGCATCATACCATAGAGATTATATTTCTGATTAATTTCTTGAGATAAACGTTTTAATATGTGAATATTAATTCCATGTGCAGACTGAGGAAGGCGACATGATTATAAAAGACAAATCTCCCGCTGCCCCAACAGCTGAACAAAGGCAACAACAGAAGATGAAAAGAATGCCCCAGCACCATGAGAAGAAAGGAATACTTGAGAAGATCAAGACGAAGCTCCCTGGAATCAATTAGATAACTTTAATAAACTAGTTTAGACAATATAGCCTTGTTTGTAACTTATATGCGCAGGTTACTAGTAATAAGCGCTCCTTACAAAATTGTGATAAAATACAACAGGCAGAGTATTATAAGAGATGTGTTCTCATACATGCAGGCTGGTTTCTGCACTGGAATTCCAGCTTTATTGTTTATACATCTGACTCATTTTACTAAATAAATACTGTCTTTGACTACTTGAAAGCGGTGAAAATATTATAGTCACAGCATGCATAGCCACTGGCCCACTGCTGTTCTGACAACAACTTATTTTGTTAGAAAAATGCAATACAAAGAATGTTGTTTGATGCAAACTTCAGAATATGATGGCTTTATAAAACCCTCTGTCATGGATGATAAGATTAATATATGTCAGAGTATCAAGTTCACAAACCATCCGTCTCATTGCCAACCTTTCTCATGAGCAAACGATTCAAATGCATCAGTATTGGACCTTGAAGGACAAATAAATTCCATTTGTAAAGTTAAAAAACTCGAATAAATCCCATCTGTAAGTTGAATGACTCTATTATTTGTGTGTATATGATAATTTTTCTTTTCAGATTGCGATTTGAAAACTATATAGCTGAATTCCTCTCAATCTGTCTTCTCTTGTCTGCTACTAAGATTTCTGACCTAGTCGATACTCTTGAGCTGAATTCTTTATTAATTAGAGAGTGGGAGGTAGTGTATTGGCGACCTAACATTTGTAGTGATGATGACTAATAAATGGACAATGTTAAACCAAAATTAGAATGATATGCATCGGTAAATGATGGGGGCACATTATTCATTTCAGGCAATTGAAGAAACATACAAGAGTATACGTACATGAACAAAGGGTTGGTGAATGATTTAGGAACCCATGAACGAAGCAGAAGTGTGCTACAACCTCTGTTAGAACATGGTCGAGACAACCATGGAAAAAGAGGAAGAAGGTGATTATTAACGGAAGTCATGAGTATTTAGTTGTGTGGGCAATATTTATATTGTTAATTTGATGCTGCTCTACTATATTTGTTAAAAATTATCTTATGCAATTTGGATAACGAATTATTTTTGGTTTTTAACTTTGCTAGACCTCCTCTGAGGAAAATGGGACAAAGAAGAAGTGCGAGGCATTTGTGAATGGTTTGTTCAAATGCAGAATGACTGATATTGATGTATGATTGCCAGGATTACAGTCAGCTGACATTGATTGGCAAGCACGGCCGAGTTCATGTTTAGGTTTTCATTATAATCAATCACCGCTATGATTTCTTGATGATTGTACACAACCTGTTGCAGAACTAAATTTTGACGATAGATTCTTTTTATAAGCTATCCTTTCGATTTTCCCTTGAAGAATTTCAGTGATTCTTTGCTGCTATCAATAAGTTTGTACCCTGGAACAAAGATAAATCTCAAATAATGTGAAAATAAATAATAAAAAAAAATCACTGGAGACTGGAGCCGTGTATTTGCTGTTCCACTTTGCATAATTGTATTTGTGGAAAATGTTTGCATGATCACAATCACATTTATCTAAGTAACTGGAAACCACCGTTACCTTTTTTTTTTCTTTTTCAAATAAAATGTCACAATCAAAGTTACTTAATGAAAGTGATCCGGCATACATGGCTGATATTGATGTATGATTGCCAGGATTACAGTCAGGTGACATTGATTTGCGGGCGCGGCCGAGTTCATATTTAGGTTTTCATTATAATCAATCACTACTATGATTTCTTGATGATTCTACACAACCTGTTCTAGAACTAAACTTTGACGATGGATTCTTTTTATAAGCTATCCTATCGATTTTCCCTTCAAGAATTTCAGTGATTCTTTGCTGCTATCAATATGCTTGTACCCTGGAACAAAGATAAATCTCAAAAAATGTGAAAACAAACAATAAAAAAAATTCACTGGAGGCTGGAGCCGCGTATTTGCTGTTCCACTTTGCATAATTGTATTTGTGGAAAATGTTTGCATGATCACAATCAGAGTTACCTAAGTAACTGAAAACCACCGTTACCTTTTCTTTTTTCTTTTTCAAATAAAATGCAGTTACTTAATGAAAGTGATCCAGCATACATAACGCTCTAAAACAAGACTCAAGTTTCGCCTTTGGATGATCCATCAGTCTCATCTGCTGCCAAGTTATAATTATAAAACTCAAGTTCAGAAAATAGTTTCAGAAAGAGAGTTTCTCATTCATGTGCTTACAGGGCACCAAGCATCTCTCGCACAGGTTAAACACCATTGCCAAAGAAAGACCGACTTTTCTCTTTCCGTACCAAATACCAGCATAGGCATTTACAGGAGTTATTAAGCATTTAACTTTGATTGGGAAAATGCTTTCTCCTTTTGTTTCCGTTTTCCTTAAAAGAGGAAGCAGTTTGTCTACTCTAGCTCTTATAGACTAATCGATGCAGGGAGATGCTCTTGCAATTAAACTTTGTCATCATGGAACCACCAACTGGTCTGCTTGGGCGACCGGCCATTTCTACAGTTCTTTACATAGCGATCGTTGTCTTCAGGACATTGCTGCAAGCATGGCTAAAAGTATTAAAAAGAGTTCTGGACTTAAAGAAACAAAAATACGATATCAATATCCCCATTATTTACAAAAACAGTAGTGCTCACTCCCAGTAGTGCCCTATGCATGGTACAAGCATGGCATGAAGACATACTGGAATAAGAAAGCACTCCAGAAAGTCAATTGAATGTACATTCAAAGTTCAAACCTTCACAGTTGAGCTCGATAGCATGGAGAGAATGCTGATACAGATAGAACTAACTGTCATGGCTGGGGACCATGAATCATACAAGATATCTACAAAATACAATGGAACAATCCTGTATTATATGTCTTTCTTGTCACAAGTTATAGTGTTATACAATAAAAATTAGGTAAAGAACAAAAAAGTGGAAATTGAGCAACATTATTACCAACGTGCATGAATGTGCATGTATGTGTGTGTGTGTGTGTGTGTGTGTGTGTAAGAGAGAGCAGGTTTGGATGGGCCAAGGGTCTAGCCGCTGTGCAGAGTGCACATATGGTAAATGAATCTAGGAACTTGCTTTGCAACCATTAACCTGAGCAACCAACATTATCATGAAAAGCTTTAATTGGGCCAAAAAGCTAACCCATAGTCATGCTGTAAAAAGTTCTTTACTTTTGGAGAACCTCATACCTTAAATTTTTTTACCCGTTTTGGGGCCTGACCTTAAACTTGTTAATGTCATACCAAAAATCATCATATTTTAGGCCGAAAAGGATGCCAAGTTTATTGTTGGGCCCAAATGAAGTGGAGTTCAGTTGCCTACAACACATCTTTCTTTGTTGATAGAAATCAACACTTGCAATTATAGTACAAAAAAACCCACTTGGTAGTTGGTACTCAAAAAAAAAAAAAAGACTTATAAATCCTTTTTTTTTTTTGCAAGTCAAAGCACTTTGACTTCTAGAGTCTTTTCGTAATGAACTTAATATCATCATATGTATTACAAAAGAACTTAATATCATCATATGTATTACAAAAGAATTGTAGAACGAAGTTCATTGTATTGGTGTAAGTATTTTTTATTGCATGTAAAGACATTCAACAGACAATGAAATTAACATATCGTAAAATAAGTTTGATTGAAATTATCGAATTATAAAATTAAAATTATCTTCTTAAGTAAATAATTTATCCCATTTATAAATAAAAAATCTCAATAAATAATTTTGTTGATTTCCAATGTTAGAAAAAGCATACAATGATAATTAATCCCACTTCAAATCTTCAATAAAAGAAAAAAAATAATGTTAACAGTAGTTTTATCCTTCTCATCGGCACAATTGGATTATATATTTTGTTCAAACAAGTTGAACAGCTAATAAGATTATCCCAAATAGTATGCGTGGGGGAAATTCTATTAGCATCAACCTTCTGTTATATAAAATCTAAAAATCTGCTGATCAATGAGGCTCAAAACAGGGAATGAGCAATGGGCGGATGGAACAGATTTGGTAGGGAAAAGAGGAGAGAGTGATTAAAAAACAAATCATGATAAAATAAATTTTAAAAAATAAAAAAAATAAGAAAAATATGGATGGACTCTTTGATCTAGTTTCACCTACCACACTACCTCAATCAACTTGTCAAAAAAGAGATTAAAAAATAAAAATAAAATGAAATTTTATAAAAATGTCGATGGTTTGAACGACTGCCATCTCAATCAATCAATTCCAAAGTCTCTCTTATTATTCTTTACAATTTTTTTATAATCCAAATTTATTCTTTAATTTATTTTAAGAAATCAAAGAGATGTATAACAAATCGGAGATTGAAATAATTACAAGACAGTTTCAATTATTTTAATAGATACGCTAATACACGAACTGGCATGTTTTAAAACTGAGTAATTGTTATGCATTTCTCCATTTCCCTTCCTGCTTGTCGTTTTCCTTGAGTCAGTCGAAAAAGGATTGGAAGAAGCGAACTGATCGTCAGCGACAAAGGGTCCCACGAACTACTTGCGCAGCAAGGTGGCACGTCGGCGACACAACGATTCTTTATCTTCTTGTCTAAATAAAATCATGACAAGACTCTGAGGTGAAGCACGCTGATTTCCTCACCACTAGCCAGTTGCTAATTTTGACATGTTTGTTTGGATTAGCGAAGAAATATTCCCTAATATGTGGCTCTAAAGTAACAAAGAAAAGCAGCCGATGACGGTGGATCCATGTAAAAAGAGCCATGGACCTGTATTAAAGTTTTGTTTCAGCAAAACCAAGTAAGACGAGCCCAGGAAATTAACTATGAAGCAATTTGATTTTGAACTTTTTTGCACAAATGATATGATCTTATTACATTTACATATACATAATATTCAAACAAAGTATTTAGAAGATAAAAGTCGCCGACTTGACGTTTTCCCCCTTTTTTATAGTTTCCTGGAAGCTGTTGATCTTAATACTATGGGCCAGTGTGCCAGGTTAAGTCCAGCAGTTCTCATTGTATCTTTTCCAGGTCCTTCGTCCCTGATGCGATTAGTCATGACTCGTGACTGTATTGCTATTGAATATGGACACGATGAAGACTTTTCATTTTCATACAAAATGCTTTTTTGCTATATAAGGAGTACTTAGTGTTACTTAGCCTTCAGTCGGCTACGTACTTGAACCTTTTCCTCTTTTCCTCTTGCTTTCAGCCTTCACTGTTTCTCTCTTGTTTTCAAGAGAGCAGAACAAGTAAAACGCAGGAATGGCTACCCTGTTGAAAGAGCTACCTTCTTTTTCCGTTCTTCTCTCCGCTTATGCCTCTATCTCAGCCATGGTCATGCTAATCCGCACAATCTTAAATGAAATGGTTCCCAGAACGGATGAGAGACTACATTGCCTCAAAATTTTCCGAGCTGACATCCACTTACTTCTCTTCAGAGTTCACCTTCTTTATCGAAGACCGCTGGCAAGCTTCTGATAACCAACTGTTTCGGGCTGCTGAGGTCTACTTGCCAACCAGAATTGGCCCTTCCAGCGACAGTCTACTTGTAGGTTTCAACGACTCCAATGAACCCACAGCACCACCCAAACGAAGCATCCCTGTAAATTGCACGATCATGGATGATTTTGAGGGGATACGCTTGGAGTGGACTTTCTCTTCAATTGAAACCAAAAAGTGCTACGTTCCCAATAAGAGATACTTCGCCGTGACCTGTAAGAAAAGCGCTAGAGAAAGAGTTGAGCAAAGGTACTTCACCTACATTAGCAAAGAAGCACAAGTAATTCTGAACAAGCGTGAGAGCCTCAGCATTTACACATATGACCAAGACTGCTCCATGTGGGAGTCCGCAGTTTTCAAGCACCCAGCAACATTTGAGACACTGGCAATCGAGCCAAAGCTTAAGCAATTCATAATGGGTGATCTTGATTCATTTGGGAAACGCAAGGAATTTTTCGAAAATGTTGGCAGGGCTTGGAAACGTGGGTACCTTTTGTATGGTCCTCCAGGGACAGGAAAATCATCACTCGTTGCTGCAATTGCAAATTACTTGAGGTATGATATATATGATCTTCAGTTTCAAAGCGTTCGAAAGGATGCTGATCTTAGACGTATACTCACATCCACCACCAACGGGTCCATTCTGCTCATCGAGGACATAGATTGTAGCACAAATGTATCACGTGGTCGTGCCCAGGTCAAAGAAAAACCTGAGGATGAAGAAGATGATAAACCCAAAAGTTCTTCTGCTATCGATCCTGGGGTAATTCATTTGTTGATTGTTATTTCCCTTTACACCTGTCTTTAGTCTTTACTTATCTTGGTTTGGTTGCAGCGGTCAAAGTTTTCAAATCTCTAATTTACCACGATTTTGTAGGTAACCCTGTCAGGCTTACTCAATTTCATTGATGGATTGTGGTCGAGTTGTGGAAACGAACGAATCATAATCTTTACCACAAATCACAAAGAAAAGTTAGACCCAGCTCTGCTACGGCCAGGGCGTATGGATGTGCATATTTACATGGGATATTGTACTCCAGCAGCATTCAGAAAACTTTCAACTACATATCTTGGAATCAAAGAAGCTGGAATCAAAGAAGCCAAACTATTCGGCTGCATCGATGAACTCATTGAAAGTACTGAAGTTACTCCAGCTGAAGTTGCACAACAACTTATGATCTGTGATGACCCTAAAACTGCACTCGAAGGTCTCATAGACTTTCTCAACGTGAAGAAGAAGAAGATAGAAGAGGGTGTAGTTGAAAAGGAGGAAAAGGTAGTTGAAAGACAAAATTCAAAGCCTGCTGAGTCTGAAACAAGATGCATATATTTGACTTAGTTTAGCTTGTCGGGGAACTTATTAGCTGCTAAAAAATCTTGGGTAGAAACCATATTCTGTTGCTTCATGGCAAGTGATTTATATGTAACTTTTTCAATATGCCCACACCCAAAACTAGAACACTCAAGATTTATGCTTCACAGATCAGATCACATCACATGCAATAAGAAGTTAGCTGGGTTGTTGGAATGGAGTATGATCTAATTATGGCAAATCAAAGAACTTTGATCATAAGAAATACGTTCTTCTAAGGAAGAAACTCGTTTTCTGATATACGTCATGAAGAAGACCCAAATTGTTAGCAGAAGAATAGTGATCAACTTCAATGCAACCACAAATTTTAGCACCATGCAAGCTAAAAGCCCACTGAATAAGGTTAGATTTAGCCCTGGTTAATATTAACAATGACTCAACTATATCATCAAGAATGTATCCTCCGGCATTAAAATTTGACAATGTTCATGGTTGAATTTCTTCTCTTTTACTTCTTTTGTTATTATTATTTTTTTTTTCAACTTGCAAAATATTATTACAAAGGTTCATAATAGTTGGTAGTACTAAAAACCATAGAACTGAATTATGTGTAGGCCACGTTATTGTTAGCAAAAAGATTTGGAATGATTCCAAACCATGTTAACCTGCTTGAAGCAAACCAAACAGAAACAATAGGCACCTGATTTTGCTTTCAAGATGCAAAGCTAAAATTCCATAAGGACGAGATATTAATACAAAATTCTCATTTAAATATCATCTATCAACAATTGGAATGGGAAGAGAGATGCATTTAATAAGTTTAGCCTGTCGTATCGAAATGTTCTGACTACCATAATCTCTTCTGATTTCTGTCATTTGTATTAACAAGAGTTAAAATGCATATATCTGGTTTCAAGTTAGGATCCTATTGATCAAAATTATTAAACAAATATCACTCCTACTGCTGCAAGGATGAAAGAGGCAAACCCTGGAGAAAGTTATATGAAGGCGGAAGTATATCTTTTGCTGATGCTAGAGATTGAATCAACTCATCTACTTGCCGTGCAAACATGCAAACTACATCAGCTAAATTTCTTGTTATCCAATCTTCACATATCCTGCGGAAGAGGGCAAAGAATTTTAGTGGATCAAAATAAAATTTGATACTGACAAGTTAACTAGATGAAGGAGGGAATAACATATATGAACAAGTTAATATTGGAGGACATTGACAAACTTAGCCATCTTGCAAATAGATATCGAATAAGAGAGATTACAGTAATGGAACCAATGAATTCTGACAGGTGTCAAGGCATTATATTTTCTGAATCTTGAAAAAGCTGGCCACCCAATTCGAACAGCTATTTTTGTTTTATCCTTCAAGCATGCAAGTTTTATTAATTGCCGAGTCAGGAGTATTATTCATTTGTAACTATTATTCAAGAGTATCAAGTCTGCTTCGGCTTTGTGTTTCTTTCTTGTTTCAATTTCCCCTAATTACAAATGTATGTACCGCTATTCAATCTTGTCAAGTGACGAATGAGAACTAAATTCTTGTCAAAATGCAGGACATAAGACAAAGAGCATCAAAAGTTTCCTAAACATGAAACAATTAATTTAATATGTTAAGCAGGTTAGAAAAACAATAAGCTTGTTTTGTTAGCAGAGGAAAAAGGAGATGAATCAAGAGCTCAATTGGAACTGACCTTAACTGAGATGCTGTACGTTCACCAAAGTCAGAAAAGAGCACCTTGATAATAGGGAGTAAATTTAACTTTGGACTAGAGTCTGTTGAACTGGCTGTGTCCAAACAATAACCAGAACAGCACCAAGAATTTGGATTTAACAGAACAATTTGCAACAAGGGAGACTTGGTTTTTAAATCTCTAACCAAAGTTCGAAATGATAATTCATCTTTTGCATTTTCCAGTAGCTGATTTGTGAACATTCTTTCCAAGCTATATTTCCTGTATGATGAGCAAACTTGAGGCCACAGTTCGACATTCATCAATGACAATAAAGCAACACTTATAAAGCTATCTAATACTAAAATGACTCATCAGAGAACAAAATATTTTTGTGGTAATTGCGCACAGTAGCCAAATTGTTTTCTGCTCACCTGAATAAATCCCCTGATCCACCACCTGATGAACAAGTGGAAATGTAGCATTTAAAGAGTCGAACTCCACCATCTATGTGTGCACCATCGTTATCAAAAGGATAAGCTCCAAGAAGTGATAAACAGTTAGGGCATACAAATTCCATCCAGTCAATATCCATTGAGAGATTGTAGGATTTAGCCATAAAAGCATTTCCAAGAAAGCCATTAAGGAACAATTTCTGATTAGCCAAGAGCCTTGAAGTGTTTTGGTCCACTGGATAAGTTTCAGAAACATCGTGATGGCTACCGTCATCAACATGCTTTTGTATGTGATCTGTATGAACACAACAACCTGGCACTGATGTCTCAGTTTCAGAGATATCTGATACAGGTAATGCAGAAAAACTTTCTTGAACATTGGCTTCCTCAGTAGTAACTAGCACATTTGTATTACTGCTATCATTCTTAATATGAACAGAGCCGAACTTCTCACATAGATCATTCATTCTCTCTTGAGAAGTTAACATATCTTCACTCAAACCATAGCCACTAGCAAAATCTGGTCCAGGCTGGTATTCTTGAGTTCCATTATAAAGTTTACAGGCCTCCAGGTCATCCTTGCAAAGGAGAACAGTTGTAAAGTTTAAGAGGCACAAACCCTTAGTACATGTAAAGGACTTCGCAAATCTAGTCACCAGCTTCTCACTTATACCCCCAAATGAACAACAGCAAGCTCCAAACCAATTATCAGCCACCTCTCGCCAGTCAATCGATGGCATTTCCAAAAAATTTCTACATACATTAATCTAAATTCTCAAAATAAATAGAGAGAAACGCAACAAGCAAAGGGATATCAAACAGTACATATATTTGAAGCTGATAGTAATGAGCACAATTAAATGAAAACACATGACCTACCTAAGAGGACTTTTAGTCAGCCTAGTTGAGCAATTTCTACAATAGAAGTGCACTCCTTCTTCCATTGATGACAGGCTCTTCAAATCTTAAAAAAAGAAACAAAAAAAAAAACGAGAAATTAGAAGAAAACCAAAAATGTAAGTCATGCCCGAACATAACTTTTACATATAAATTACAAAAATAAATTGCTATTCAAAAAAAAATTTTTTATTGTTCAAAACACTAAAAATAACAATTATATGAAACTTAAAACTCGAACCTGAAAAAACCAAGCACAGACTTTGAAGAATAAAAAAGATGGATAATTGTGAACTAACCAGTACCCATCACCAGCGGCTTTGCTGCATCCAATTCAACCGCGTCATCGCCATTTTCAGACGTATTCAACACCGAATCAAAGCTGGAAACAATAGGATGATCAACAGGAAGAAGCAAAACGAGCTTGACCTCAATGTGATCATCCAAAGCTCTCAAACTCACCGGAGATTCAGAATCGATCAAGACTCTAGGAATCGGAACCCTCACCGACACCTCCTCCTTCCCCTCCACTTTAAGCCACGAAACGAAAAGTTGAGATTGAGAGAGATTGAGTTGAACTTCGAGGTTCTTGCATTGAAGCGAAGGTTTTGTTTGAGAATCGAAGAGGAATAAACGGAGGTTCGGAGAGTGAGTTTGTGCTTCCCATGTGAACCGCCATTTTCTAGGGTTTTCAAGGTTTGACATTTTTCTTTCCTTTCTCTGGGTTTGTGTTCAAGTATTCGGACCGTTCTGCTAAGCCGGCGCTTCTTACGTTCTATTAAAACGGATAGTTTTCTGTCTATTTCCTGAAATACCCTTATCGGGCTAAGATCGGCTCGGTCTTTGGGATGAAGGCCCATTTACCTATCTGAAAAGGCCTATCCCATGGGGCATAGCCCAGTAGATCCCTTTCTCCTTTAATTTAGGTGTAATCCCAATAATTAATTTTGTAATAAAAATTATCTCATTCGCCATCAGTGAAAATTTTAAACTCTTTTAAATTAGGTTCGATAATTTAAATACAATACGATAATATAATATGAATATAACATAAAAATAAAATATGAAAATGACACGATTTAAAATTTTAATAATAATTATATATAAATTTAATAAAAATATATATTTTATTTTTTTTATTGTATAAATTGTAATACGTAATTTTTATATAAATATATATTATGAATACATAAATTTTAATAATTTATATGACATGAATATATAAATTACTAAATTTACTTAAAATGAGTTAGTAAGACAGCACATATTCTTTGAATTATATTAAAAAGAAATAAATAAATTAAAAACAATATATATGCTAATCTTTTAATTTTGTTTATGAAATTAAAAAATTTTACTACTAAATTTTAAAAAATAATGTTGACATAATTTTTTTCAACAAGGGTTATCAAATTAAAAAAATAGAAATAAATTATTTTATTTTTTTTATTTGAAAATAACGCATTGAAGTCTTCTACCAACTTTATATATATATATATATATATATATATATATATATATATTCAGAGTAGCTCTTTTCAAAATTTTATCTTTGAGGTTTCAAAACTTGTTCTTAGCTTTTAAATATTTTCAATTTTTCAATTTGCTACTGTAGTTTCAACTTTATTTCATAAACAAGTTAGAACAAAATTTTGTTTAACAAAGAGGTCATCATTATAGTGTCATAATCAATTCAATATGAAAATCAACTTCCATTAAACCTGACTAAGAAATTAAACCACCTTTTTTTTTTAATTATTTCTTTGTTCATGTGGGTCTTGGTTCATAAATGGTTGCCTATATGCCTCCATGAATATATACATATATATATATATATATACATATTTGCTTTCTCTTAATTATTGTTAAGATTAATTACTTAATTATATTTTATTTTAAACATTATTTTATGAGTACTGAAGGATTAATTGTTCTTTTGTGTATGGTTTATATTGAAAATTTTCAATAAAATAATATGAAAAAAAAATAATTGAAATTATTAAGATTTAAATTTTAATTTTGTTAAATGTTATTTTTTAAAAATAATTATATAAACCAACTGAATTAAACATTGGATTCATAATGCTAACTTTACCAAATGTATGCACTATGGGGCCTAAAAATTTTATATAATTAATACATTTATCCTTTTTTTTTTTAGTTTTAATTAACATATTTATTTAGATATTATTACTTGGATGTCATGGAATAGCTTATTGGGCACTCCTTTCTTGACTTATGTGAATAATGATATTGCTATTAGATTAAGAAAATCTTAATATCACAAAAATCAATTTAAAACAGTAAATAAAAATGTGACATAACTTGTCTCCTAGTTAACTTTACTTGTATTTTATCAGCAATTTGAAGGTTCAATCATCAATATTGGTTCATAATTGAGGAATCTTTGGTTAATCTATTCCTCTTTTTGCTTAATTAAAAAAATTGGCTAATTTGTCCATGTGAAGACAAATCTCAGAGGAAATTGGGTATTTGAGATTTTCTTTGTTGGTTGCTATTTGCACCTCAACATTTATTTAATATATCTCACTACTTTTAATATCTTACTTTTTACTCATTACACTGCATATTCAAATTAAAATTTATCAAAACATTAAAACACTCAATCTCTTCTCCTTCACACCCCATCTCTTCTCTCTTTTTTCAATTGTAAACCCTAAAAATTTAAAGTTAAATTCAAAAGTAAATAGTTTATTCTTTATTTTTTGTTTAGTTTCATAAAATTTAAGGTTTAAATATTTCAATGTGATTTGAAACTTCCAAAAATGTATTTCTAGAAGTTCTTTAAGGTTTCTGAAAATAAATGTTCATTAGTCTTTAAGAGTTTTTGAAAATAAAAAATTTCAAAAAATGAATTTCCAAAATTCTTGAAGGTCTTGAGACATTTATTTCTAAAAATTAACTTACTCGATCATCATTTTTAAATCTTCATTACTGCAATTATTTCTCTCAAATTTGTTTTTCATTTTAATAGTACACAAGATATTACAAATTTTGATTGTGAATTTTGACAATAATATGATTTGTTGCTAGGAAGAAAAAGTGAAAAAAAGCTACTAATAGTTTGGCAAGGAGAAGAAAAGAAAAGAAAGAGAAGAAAAGGGTATGAAAACAAAAAAGTAATTGATTAATGGGTATTTAAGTAATTTCATTAAAACTTAAATTTATAATAAAATTTTTTGGATGTCTTTAGTAGTTTTTGGGATGTAAATAGTACTCTTTTTGTCTTTGTTTGATGAATGACTATAATTTAATAATTTAAGGAAAAACAAGAAAAAAAAAAGGTTATCTCTAGCTATTTCTAATAAAGATTAATTACTTCATTATATTTTAATTTATACATTATTTTATGAGTTATGAACATGATTAATTGTTCTTTTGTGCATGGTTTTATGCTTAAATTTTTTTATAAAGTAATATGAAAATAAGAAAAATAATTGAAAATATTGATATTTAAATTTTAAATTTGTTAAATGTCATTTCTTAAAAATAATTATATAAATCAATTGAATTAAACCTTAAATTCATAGTGGCTAGCTTTACCAAATATGTACTGTCTAAAAAATTTATATAATTAGTACTTCTATCCTAATTTTATTTAGTTTTAATTAACATTTTTATTTGGATATTATTACTTGAATGTCATGGAAGTGCATATTGGGCACTCCATTCTTGACTTATGTGAATAATGATATTGCTATTGGATTAAGAAAATCTTAATCTCACGAATATCAATTTAAATCTGTGACTAAAAATGTGACATAACTTGTCTCCTAGCTAGCTTTATATTTTATCATAAATTTGAAGGTTCAATTATCAATATTGGTTCATATCATAATTTGGGGGAAATTTGATATTTGAGATTTTCTTTTTGTTTGATGAATGATTATAATTTACTTTTTTTTAAAAATTTTTTAATTTATCTTTAAATCATTTACCCTACTAATTATTGAAAAAGATATTTCGCATATAAACTTTTTTAAATTTGTAATCTCCAAATATCAAATTCTTATAACATGTCAATTGATCCAAGGAAAATCCACATGAACAACCATAATTTACTAATTCAAGGTAAAACAAAAAAATAAAAAATAAAAAAAGGACATCTCTAGCTATGTCCAATAGCATCTAAAAAAACACCTGTACAAGAAACAAAACAGGGAGCAACAATCAACAACCAGGAAAGCTAGGATTCTCAATGCAGAAATGATTAATCAGTACATAATCATGTCTGCAGAAGCCATGATGGTTTGATTGACAGAGAAAGAACTCCATGGATTCATGAAAGTATCATCATTGATATGATGATGATGATGATGGGCAGCCTGATCAAAGTTTTCAAAAACCCCATTGCTTGAGTTTATGAAATCAATGATTTCATTGAGAGATTGCAGCCTGGTACTGAGCTCAGTCATCTGAGCTCTAAGAACCGACTTCTCATCGTCAACGTTCAAGTAAAGCTGTGTGGTTATGTTGATGCTTGAAAGGATCTGGTTGTTGTCCTTTGTGAGCTGAGATACTTGCTCCATCAGATCATCCAGGTGCTTCTGTTTACGCATCCGAGACCGACGTGCCGATTCCCTGTTGGAAAGCATTCTCTTGCGCTTCCTTTCGTCCAAAATCTGCTGAAAATCTTCCTCCGAACTTGAGCTTCTCAGCGTGCTTGAAGCTGAAGATGCTCCGCTGCTTGAAATAGCCACAAAAAACAACAGTTTATGAAAAAAAAAAAAAAAAACAATGGACTATGCTTGGAAAAAATAATAGCACAGGACCCAGAAGTTTATTACTGAAAAGAACTCAGATATGGGATTATTTATGAAAAATGGCTAAGAAAAGCTAAAGAAAATAAGGGCTGGTTATGGGATTAGAGAAAGGGATAGTTCATGAAAACACGTAGAACCAGTAGAGGAAAACAACAGAGAAAGACTGAACAAGATGGGTCCTGCGCCTAAATGAAGTGTTAATCATAAAACCAGAAAGGAGGATTTAGCTTACTACAGGAGACATGAGTCTCAAACATCAAGAACAAGATGTTGATGAGGATCAAAAAGATTAGTTTGCTAGCTAGACAAAAGAGAGAAACAAAGAGACTGCCGAATCTTGAGTATGTAAGATAAACCTGGGACTTGGAAGAACTATATGGAAGAGATCTGGATAAACCTGGGACTTGGGAGAACTATATGGAAGAGATCTGGAGAAATACAAAGAGACATTGCAAAGCCTTTGAAAAACTACAGGGAAATCAAGATGAGAAAGGAAAGAGGTTGACATTGGATTTCATGGTGGACTTTATAGACAGAAAATTCCCATTGGAAACAGATAAACTAATGGAGTAAACATTGTACTTTGCATTAACCAAATATGGGGGAAAATCAAAACTTGAATTGCGTCTAGAAAGTTGATATTATGGTCTTTGTGCAAGTATCACACCCATAATTGATATTGGCAAGCTTAGACTGGAAAAAAAAATATTAACTGCTACAACAATGTAATGTCTGTTTTTCTACTTTTATCGGCTTCAGACGGTCTTTTTCTAGCTAGTCTGGCACCTTACAGTAAATCTTCATGCATGATTGCATAGTGTTGCAGTCACAAAAAAAATCAAAAGTTACCATACATTCGTTATCATTCATGTTTGCTTATGGCTGATATAAAATCTTGGAAATGAGATTCTTGATGGGCATTTTCATGGAATGATTTGACTATCCAACAGTAAATCTGTGGCAAAGAAGATTAACCAAGGCTGTTTCTTGGGGAGGAAAAGGTCACTGTCTCACATGATTCATGTCAGTTTTCTGAAGATTGGCCCCAATAAAAAATGTCGAATAGGCCACCGGAGCAGTGGCATTTATACCGGATAATATAAAATACCTAAATAATATGATATAAATATAATATAAAAAATAATGATTTAAAATTATAATAATAATTATATATGTATTTAATAAAATAAAAAATATATATTTTATATTTTTATATTGATATAAATTATAATATATTTTTATATAAAATATAATATATATACAAAAATTTTAATATTTTATATGATATAAATATTTTAATCAATTAAATTAAATACGGTTTTGGCAATCTCTCGAAGTCAGTGCCCACTGGTTGCGTTTAGTTTCTGAGTACATCGACATTAGCAGGTTCCAAAAAAACTATCAACAAAACATTGAATTTAAAGCCTACGAATTTAAAGGAAAAAAATTATATTAATAAGTGATTGATTTAATTGATTAAAATTTAATTTTTTGATAAAAATATTTTGAATTTAAATTTTATCTATATTATTTATTGAAATTATTTTAAATGTATAATTTATAATTATCATATATGATATATTTTATTTTAATTTAAAAAATTGAGTTGTTTATCTATTTTAAAATTTTTTTATAAAAAAATATACAATTGATAAATAATATTTTTATATAATTTTTATTATAATTAAATAATCATATAATTATAATAAAAAATTATAAATAAAATGCACCTGATACGTACAATATAATTCTCATGAAAAACAAAAACAATATCATAGTAAGCCATAAGAAAGTGTTTTTATATTACCTGGAATCCGACAATATCTGGACATTCACGTGCGAGATCGAACTCATTAGGTTTTTTTTGTTTTTATAATAATGTTCCTGAACCGAATTTCTATTTGATTTTTCAGTGGGCAATAAAATTGCAATTGGTAGTATTATAAAAATCAAAGTTAATTCTACAAAAAACAAAGTAGACTGTCTCACAGTCAGCAAGTGAAAACTGGAAAGACAAAAATGATTAAGGCTTTTAAAAGACAAAGTTTACCTCTTAAACGTGTATATGACACGGAAGATTCCCAATTGCTGCTTAATACAAATGTTACGGATCGATATTTAAGTTTTGAATTTGTACGATTTTTAAATTTGGATATTTACTCATTTGGCATCTTAGATTAATCTATCGTCATGGTTCATATTTTTGTAAGATATTATCTGTTTTGATCTCAAGATTTTATTTTACAAAAGATATCTCACAAGACAGAGATATTGTAAATCTTTTTATATTTCAGTGACCCTTTTATTATGTTCGATGTGAGATTCAAAACTTATTTCTTACTTTTTGACTTCAAGGTTTTATTCTACAAAAGATGTCTCACAAGACAGAGATAGTGTGAGCTTTTTTATATCCCAATGACCTTCCTATTATGTTCGATGTGAGATTCATGATTCTTCCTTATGTTCGTGATACAAACATTAAGATATGAAATGAAATTATTGTGACGTTTAATCTCATATTGAAATAATTTAAAGTTTTATTATAATATATAAATATATTAAAATTAAAATTTATAAAATATTTTTTAAGAAATAAAATCATGAGATTTTAAATTAAAATAAAAATATCTCGCGGATTTGGGTGCGGGTCCCATAATTATATTAGAGCTGGATTTGAGCTAAGATGAGTATTAAAAGTGGTTGACGGAAAGAAAGAAAAAAGTGAGTGAAAGAGGGCGGAAGCCATGTTAATTGCAAAGTTGATAGCTTGACCTAATGCTAAGTCACTTGTAATGAAGAACATGTATCTGACAGACTACAACAGGAAATGGACAAAAAAAGAGGGAGGAGGTGGAACTTTCACCTGTGGTAGTGGTTCTTTTCTGCAAGGAATATATGCTAAGAAACTGAATCGGCAATTTTCTTTGGTCTTTAAAGCAGAAGGTGAAAGAAGAACAAAAAACAAGGAGATTGTATGAACCTTTGGCCAAGACATAAACTGCAAAAGCCCATAGGCAGAAACTATAACCATAACTTTTGGTTTTTCAATATTTCATGCCTAGCTAGAACTATAACCTTTCCTTGTTGGCTTCGAAATTGAAGATGATACTAATATTTCCACTACCAATTCTCCAAGTTGCTTACTAGCTTGGACTGTGGTTTTTAACTACTAGGTTAGAAAGGAGAAAATTACAAGTTTCTTCTTATTGGCAGGGTTCAAAAGAGGAAGAAGGAAAAGAAGAGCAGAAGCCTGATCTTATAAGTAGAGGACTATGCCTTGTGCCTCAGTCTTGCACATCATATTCTATTAATAGTTGCAGTACTGGCATTTGGACATCCTCCCTTGAGAAAACTTGCTGTTGCATATTAGAAAAAATGATTTTGGCCTTGGGATTATGAAAATGTATAACTGCAGGTGAAGGCTCAAGGTCTGGTTATTGAGACTTGGAGCTTTGGCAGGCTCATGTATACTTGTCAACCTCTATGAAAGAATGTTTACTAGCGTATCATCAATTTGGCAATGCTATTAAACTTGGCATAAAACTTTCCCAGTTGGAATTGCAAAATAAAAAGAAAAGAAAGAATGAGGTTTGATTGAGGGTAAAGAGTACTAGAAATGAGGATTGGTCTGGCCTTTAGTTCTGTTTCATCTACTTGGATGATGAATTCTTCTGTTAGTTTTAAATTTAGAAGTATTAGAGATCAGGGGTGCATCCAGGGGACTTTCATTTCCTCCTTCTGTAATCCCTGGATTCTAAACAAGGGAGATAAAAAGGTAGATGAACCAACACGTGCCTGCCAACAAGTCTATATGTACATTGATCTATAGGCCGATTTAATTTATATATATATGATCAAAACTTTACATTGACATCTTATGAGAGGAACGTTAGACAAGAGTACATTCGGGGGGAGCGAGTGGCCTTATAAAACAAATTACCCCACCACCGGTTTCCTGTCAGCAGCATCCAGCATTTCTTTCTTCACCAGAACTGGAATATATACAAGCAAATCAATTTCGAAATGAGACTGACAACGTAAATTAGTATAATGTTCTTAAGCAAAAGATAAATGAGCAATATTATGGTCTTAGTAGCTTACCAAAGTCCTCTTCTTCCTCTTCTTTTTGTCAAGATATGCCACGAGCTCCTTCTGTTGAGCAAATGAGTCTTCTAGAGCCTGAAAAAGCAAGGCAATGGCAATCACTTTAGGTGCAGGACTGCAATTAAGCATTTACAGTTTTTCTTTCTTCTTTTAATCTGTGAAAAATTATGCAGCAATTATTAATTATTTTAACTAATATTTGATGTCTTTAATTTGAAATAGAATATACTGTTAAAAAATGATAGAGTGAAAAATGACTGGGGTAATTAGGATCAATTTTTCACAAGTATAGCTTTGCGCTAATCTGGTCAATTACTTGGCTTATAAATAATTTCTTCAAAAACAGCAATGTTTACCTTCTTGGTTGCCATAAGTTCTTGCTCCAAGGCATCAGCCCGGTTTAGTGCAGAATTCAACATTTCTTCCTTCTCTGGGGGCATTGTTGTAGGTTTCATGTGAATAACAGTTACTCTCTCTTCCAACTCAGCCATACGTTTCATGACAGACATCAACTCAGCAGTGGAGATGGCTGCTGGGGATAACTTGCCTGAAGGTTCCTGGCTCTTAACCTCTGTGTCAACACAGTAAACAGGACTAGAGCAGATGTTGGCATCAGTGAGCTTCATGGGCATGTTGCGTGTCACTCTGATCATGGTGGCAATTCCCATAACAAAGGTCATGACACCAGTGAAAAGATGAGAGCTATGCCCATCAGGAACCTTGTAAGTTTCTTGCTTAGTATAAGAATCTGCCATTGAAACAATATGAATAATCAGCCTACTTAAACTAAATTGAGGAACATGCAGAGCAAGCAGCCTCCTTACGCCCTTTTTTGTGTGTGTGACTATAGGATGTAACAGTCTGAGTAGGCCATGTACCTTTTGATAGAGCAGCAAAATTTTCATTCTGCACTTTGTTCTGCCAAGCAAAATCCACAGGTTTATCAACCATTGGAACAACTTTCTCATATTGGCTCATTTGGACCTGTGAGATTTATTTGTCAAAACTAAGAAAAATGGAGGGGAGAAATAGTAACTTTCACAATACAACCATAACAAAATGAATTTGGGAAGAAATGGAGGGTGGAAGGAGGGAAAGCAAATAAATTCAATCAGGTCAAGATATCTAGGAACTCAAGTACTTTGCCGGTAGGCCTTGCATCCTACAAGGGTTCTACATTTTTCACAACTTGATTCAACCTTGAGGTCTATGACACTATACGCTGATTCAAAGTCTGAAACCCCTAAATTATTGACAATATTCTGTAAGAAGGCTGTTAAACTTACATTTTCATGTACAGGAGAGATTTCCGGGTGCTCAATATCATTCCTTGAAAGTTTAGAAGAAAGAGATTGTTTCTTTCCTGTATCTGGAACTGCCTCAGCATCCAAGGAGTCATTAGCCTGGGTAGACTGTGAAACAAACTACTCAGTGAATCGATGAAAAGAAGATACAAAAGAAAATCCACTGGATTAATAAAATAGATGATAAACAAGCAACATGTTTATAATTCAGGGACACATCGTCATAGGAGGAAAAGAGGAAGAGAGGTGCATGAGCAAGTGTAACCTTGGAGAGCATTGTCACATCCTCTAAAATTGTTTTCTCTTCAGTGCTTTCAGCCTGAGATTTCTTTGCGCATTTATGTTCACCATTTTGAACCATCTGCAAGTCCAAGAATTGGTTAGGAGTTCCTTGACTCCAGAGAACAAACTATACAAGATAATCAATATGACTGCAACTGAGAAAAATAGAAAGAAGAATGGAATTAAAGTATAGTTGTGATCCACCTTCAAGATCTCTGGGTCCTTCCATGGACCCTTATCAGAACGCATGCAGCCTCCCTGATCAGCACAAGTGCAAGTACCTCCCAAAAACTCTGGCAACTCGCTGATATAAAGCCACAACATGAAAAAAAAAAAAATAGCAGAAGAAAAGCAACACCAGGAAAATGTTCACAACAGTGAATGCAAATGGTTGATGACATTGTATCTCATAATTTTTTTTTCTGAGTTCTAAGTTAAGGTTGGAGAAAATCGGAAAGGCTAACAAAATGAAAAAGAAGAAAATTTTAGATCATCTAATTGGAACATACCTTTCATCAATTATTTCAAGCAACTTGCTCTGATATTTGTTGCCAAGAACCTGGTATGTAATAGATTGTACAGATTAATTTCTATTGGTTAAAACTAGCAAATTTGATGTGAGGAAGAATAGGCTTACATGGATCTTGGCTGTGGTCTTAGGATCAAGGAAAGACTTAATAGTGTTCCACAACATTCTAAATCCCGAACCTGCATTGATGATGAACATTCGGTTCAACGTCTGCAGAAAAGGCAACAATTTGCATATCACAAATCCATCATTTACAGTTATAAGTCACGACCAAATAAACAAACTTATCTATTATGCAAGAAAATTGTTAAGGAAATCGGTACCTCAGGATAATTGTCACCATCAGTCTTCTGAAGACGAGTGATAAGTTCCCTAGCAGCTTTGGTGAAGCTTTTAAGACCCTGTGGCATTAACTTGAAATTAAGCCTAAGACATTACGTGATTTTTTTTTGTCAGAATACAAGAATTAACCTTTTGAAAATAAGATTTGGGAAGGTTACAGGTGGAAGTTTATAGTGATTAATTATATCTTTGATCAAATTCTTGTATCATAGAGATAGTCATTATTGTTCTCACTTACCACTCCTTGCACATCCAAGATGGTTGTGCTTTGGTCAATGTGCTTCTTGGCCGCAATAGAGCAAGATGGAAACTTAACATCAAAGGTCCTCTCAAACTCCTTTACATGGTATTTGAGATAGCGGTCCATTGTTGTGACTTGCATGAGCTTGGTAGCATCTACTAGGCCTATTCTCTCTATATACACCGGTCGTCCCTCCTTATCTATTCCATGGTATCCTTGGGGATAATATTGCAGGACTTCATCATGCTCCTTGAACTCGAAGTCCTTAAACAAAGAGCAGAAACGGGAATGGAACTCATCCAGAGAGTCATTGTGTAATGCAGTTTTAAAAAGGCAATATTTGAGAGGAACCATAAACAAATATCAGGATTCTATGTCTTCTAGGGCTGATTTCTAAGAAGAATACCTCTAAAATTGTGTCGGTACCAAATTCCGTCCTCCATTGGAGCATATCAGACCACATTTCCTTTGTTTTTTCAATGTCAAATTTTCTAGCCTTCAAGAACCTGCATTATCAGAGGGATACATTTAGAGGTTAGCAAGTTTATGACAAATTCAAAACTAAGACAGCAACAGCTATAACCGCATTCGAGGTACCCTTACTAAGTTCTTCATTTGAATACAACAGCCAAATAAACATAAGGAACAATGTATTTAACTACAACACCAGAGATGAAACAGGAAAGAAAGTAACCTGAGCATCATGTGATAATCATCATGTTTTGCGGGCAGCAGTTCCTCCAATATAAGTACCTGACGCAAGGCATCAACAGCCTGCAACTCCTCTGCATCACGCACATCCTCAATTTCCACAGACATTACTTTACTGCTCCTTCTACCTTTCTTTGTTAAAGAATTCCTGAATTTATTGGAGGCACTTAATGCTGCCTCCTTCAAAGACCCCATCGTGGTCTTTCTTTCTTCCTCGGAGACGTCAATATCAGATGCTGTAGAATGAACGAATTATTAACATTAAATATAATAAAAACCGAAAACATTCCAAATGTTCCCCATCTACTAAGATTAAGTTTTGGTTTTGATTGGCCATCATTAACAAAGAAGAACAAAATAGTCTTACCAAGAATCCCATATTTATGCCACAACAATTCATGCAAACCAACATTTAACAGTACAATAACAACATCATTCTCCACCTATAAGGCTATAACAATATCTAAACATCCTCTTTCTGGTAATTGAGGTTATATTCAAAGCAACAAGAGCAGGAGAAAACCTGCTAAAATTGCACAGGCAGCAGGACAAGAAAGATATAAATCAATACATAAAAAATGTACAATGACATTAACAGAAACAAAAAAAAAAAGTTCTCATTCATGTCCAACGTAAACCTGTTGATAGAACATCTAAACATGCATAGAGATTCTAACAAAATTATATAAAGCAGAAAGAAAAAAAGGTTTAGGATAAGAAGAAGACCTTGGTTTTCAGATTGAATAGCAGACATTATTTGAGGCTTGGGGAATATTGCTGATAGGTGAGCAACAGGCAGAAGAATGAAGCACTCATATATCCATCGATCCCCAGGACCCAAATGTCTGCAAATATAATATTAATATTACAACCAACGTTCAAAGATTAACACGTAGAGAAAGATAGAAGAAAGAAAAAACAATGTATCTAAGCCAAGGGGGAAGGAGGGTAGGGGGATACTAATAATATGAGAGAAAGCTAATTTTTTCGGTGGATTTTTTAGAGTCCTTCGAAAATGGCAGGTAGACAATGAGGCAGACACGACATACCAATCAAACATAACATTAGTAATGTTTTCGTTAATGTTTTTACTATTTCTTGTAAGAAAAGAAGAAATGGGTCGGTTTTCTTTCTTTATTTGGCATTTGCTTTTTTATGATCTTTGACCAAGTCTCCAACTCTCGTATCAACAGCCATGGCCGTTTCTTTTTTTCTAAAACATAATAATGGCTGTTACACTTCAGAAAATTGAATGCCAAATGCAAGGCCTCTCCCTTAAAAATTGTCCGGACCGATGAATTCATCTAAACCAAACGGCCTTTTCCTCTCTTTTCGGCAAATTCATACATTAATTTTTTAATTTTTTAATTTTAACACACTTTTTCTGTAATTTTTGAGCAGGTTAGTCCAACAATAACTAATACCAGTCTTCATCATGGGATGGTTGAAGCATTGAATAAAGTCCGGGTACTCCCAACAGTCGATGTTTATCAATGGCAATACGAGGAGGGCGGAAAGGGTCCAAAATAGATCATTGCCTAAAGATTGGTCAAAGAACCGTAACAACTAATAAACCTAAAATTGCAGTCATGGCTGTCCAAATGTCATGGTCTGTGCACAATTAGGCATGTGACACATACACCTCATCTGCCAATAGAATACAGCAAATTATGAGCTAGCTGCAAGTTCATTAAATTTCCTCCTGTGCAAATCATTCACAGATGGAATGCTAAGAACTAGCTGTAAGTTACTGCAACATTTGAATATCAAATAAATAGTACAACCATACATCAATGCCTTGTTCCTCAAGGTTCGCTGTCTTTTTTGATACAATTCAAACTTCGAACTTGCAGAATCATGCCATGATGGCGGAACTTCAGTACCAACCCAAGACACTTTGTAATTACTAGAGATTAGCAGCTGATATGACCATATTCCTATTTAATTCTGGGCGTGCAACCTGAACTTCTTGAGATAAGGAACCAAAAATTAATTTGCAATCACCATACACACAAATACATTTGCAAAACAACAGATAACCCAATAGAAAACAGCAATTTCCTTTTGTTTTCTTTTTCACTTTCAGTCAGAATCAGAATCATGATTTGCAGAAGATCTCACTGTCTTGCGCCTACTCTCATCATAACCGTCGTCTTCATCATCTTCATCATTTTTCTTCTCACTGATTACACCTGTAAAATGATATATTGTTTTAGATGCTGCAACATGCTATAAATTGCACGTTGAACAAGACAAAGTCATTACCTTTCTTTATCAGTACAACCTCAAGCGTCCTGGTAGCAAAATCATCTTTCCCTCCAAGATCTTGAAACCCAACCAACCTATCTACTGCAATCCCTTTTCTGCCCAAAAATTTCAACTCTTCAAGTTAGATATAATAAAAGAGATATCATTGTTTTCTAACTTTAATACATGATGCCAAAACTGAACACAAAGATTATTAGGATGTCAATTCTGCATCTACATTTTGCCTAATCCTTCAATTTGACTGAGTTGGTCACTATTCCTTATCAATATTAATTGCTCAAGTCTTAGGGTAGAAGAAAGAAAATATAGAAAATTTATTAAGGAACTTAACAACAATGAAGCATAAATCTTATTTTTTTCTGCGTCAATTAAACAACTATCAATATTTGTGAGAAAAAAAGAAGCTAAGAGATGGCTGACCTGAAAATTATAACACAAGGCAAAGTTTTGACTGCAAGTTTGGTAACAAAGAAAGGTGCATTCTGCCACAAGAATTCAGAATCTTATGTTGGCAATGAAAACAATTCTACGGCCAGAATGAAATATGAAAAATCTCTATCAAGATGTAGAAACAGAAAAAGCTTGATGATGTTCACCTCAGCATCCAGCTTGATGAACTTTGTATCCAGATGCTTAGGTGCAAGAGCTTTCAAATGCTTATCCATTATCCTGGATTATCCATATATATTTCACAATAAGTCTTGCACATTTATGATTGAGCCTGTGCTGTGTGCGTGCGATAGACAGACAGAGAAAAGTAAAAACCTTACTTGCATCGATAGAACTCCTTATGGTAGAAATGGCAAATCACTTTCTCACTTCCAGTGACTTCGCCCAAGAAATCTCCTTCACTAATCTCCCTGTACTCTCCATGCCCTTGCCTCTTTAATGCTTCTCGCTTCTCAGCTTCTTTCTATTCAAAATAAATCCTAGTGTGATTACGGAGTTCAGAATGACTATCCCCATATCTGTAGACCATATTGTATCATACTGAATTACAAATTACTATTGAATTTCTAACCTTGAGAGCGGCAATCCTGTCAGCATGCAGTTTTTCCAGCTCAGGATCCTGTATAAAAGAAACTTGTGAGCCTACGAAAAAGCAAAGTATTATAGAATGGATCAAAGATGCTCCATCTTAAAATACAGAAAGCTTCATAAGACTTACATCCATCAACTCATCAAGGTCAACCTCCTGGTTGACTGAAGTTGATGACTGTGCCATCTCTTGGGCAAGCAGCTCCTGTAAGATCATCAAATTGACACATTGAAACATTAAACACAAACCAATTGGCATAACTATGTTGTTACCATCTAACTTCGACAATCATACCTTTTAATTTTACAGCTAAGTCAATCTGGCTCAGACCATTTAAAAATTATCATCAGAACAATCAAAACCATCAATTTACAGTTCCCAACCAACCCTTCAAACCCACTCTTTTAATCCAAGACAGAATCTTACAATTTATGATTATAAAAGAATATAGAATTTCAACGAACATGAATTCAATTACATAACTTTACTACACTACCTATAAGCCCAACCACAAAGAAAAAAAATCAGCCCAAAAGGCAAGCAGCTATTAATCCAGTTAGTATATCCAACAATCGCAAAGAAAAAAAAAACCATTAAAAACTCAAAAATAGAGGGAAAAAAAGGGAAAAAGACAACCTTTTTATAGTCACGAGCAGCAGCTGCCATCACATTCCCAAATGCTAAATTGGACAATGTTGATTTAACTGAATTCGGATCCATTTCTCTTTCTCTGAAAGATTAAAACAAAAACAAAAAAAAACATAAAAGATAAAAAAAAAAAAAGAAGCTTTGATGGAAATTCTAATGAAGCAAGCAAATCCAGGGGAGAACCTTATTCTTACAGGCTGAATGTTTTGATCAAGACTGAAGAGAAATCGAATGGAAAAATGGGATCTTGAAAATTTGAAGAGAAAAGGTCTCAGATGAAACGCACCGGTTTCGGACTGTAGAGTTACTCTGGGCCTAATTTAGCTCCTGAAGGCCCATATTCAAGAATGCAAAAATATCAACTCTAGGCCCAAATATTGGGCTGAGTGAGAGGCAGGCGGACCCCTAAAAGCTCTACAGTTTGTTTGGGCCTTAAACCCCTACAGCCAATCAACACTCGTCAGATGGGTTTTGATCGTTATTATAAAAATATGGCAAACAAACTGGCGACGTTGGTCTTTGTACATGGACTGACTAGTGGATAGAAGAAAGCTACAATGAATATTGAGCGGTAAGGAGCTCGATTTTTTAAGTAAAATTTAAATTTTGAGTTTTATAAATAAAAAAAATAAATTTGAGAGAATTTATTCTTCTTATGAAATCTGATTTGATTTGATTATGAATTAATCGAGATTTAAAGTAGTTATCGAACACTGAATGATCTCAGACAAAAAAAATAAATATCAAATTTGATTTATTTTTTTAATAATATATAATATTATAAATTTTTAAAATTTGATTCGATTAAATTAATTTTTTTAAATCGATTTGATTCGATTCATCAATTTTTAAAATTTATTTTTTATATATTATTTTAATAAAAATTTTAATATATTTAAATAAATTTATATATATAATAATTATTTTTATTTTATAAAATTTTAAACTATATATAAAAACTAATAAAAATATATAATTTGATTCAATTTAATTTTTTTTTAATTTTTCATATCCGAATTTAAAATTTGATCCAAACTTAATATATATATATTTAATATCCAAATTTAATTTAAACTGAATAAAAAAAAAATTGATCTAAATCAAACACTACAATTTGAATCAATTTGTGATGTTTTCGATTTATTATTACCCCTACTATTTTCCATCCTCCCAACCCTGGGTCTTATCTTCTCTCTCTTTTTGGCAGTCCTTTAATTTCTTATTTTATGGTATCTTGAAAATTAAACTTGGCAATTATTACGTAGATGGACAGTGGTTGTCCCATAACCCTGAAGGCATTGAACAAAAGAAAGTAAACTGGGATTGTCTCTGAAAGGACTTTCTCCATTGTGAAGGTGTCCAAAGCGCCTGGCATTCATGAAAGGACATGCCTAGTCAGTATCAATAAATAGTCTTCTACCTCGAGTTAGACGCATATCATGCATATGCATGAATACTGTGGTGTTTTCTCTAGCTTATTACTCAGACTCATGCATTTCAATGAATACTAAAGTTTCCACCTCAGACGCTACCTCGCTCTTTTACATCGATGAGAGAAATTATATAATAAAGAAGGTTTTAACATTGAAATGGAGCTTTTACAGGTTACCCTCCAAGCTCGAAACAGATCACTCCAACTATTTTTCATAGTTTCTGTCAGAAGGACACAGTTGGACTCCAGTTTGAACAAATATGAAAGAAAATGAAATTCAAAAGGACAGGAAATTCAGGATCCCAATCTCGCGTTACTATGTGTTTCCCTTCAGTACCGATTGTTTCAATGCCATATATTCTCTTACATTTGAGGGTTTACCCTTTTTTTTCGTATGCAAAAGGCTTTAATAATGTTATTGCATGATTAACGTGTATAAATAAGTAGTATATTTTTTTTATACATATTATATTGAATTATTCACTATGTACTTCATCTGTACTCATAAATATCATGAGAATTATTAAAATTATCCCTTCTTTTTAATAAAAAAATATAATTTTCGTTTACATTTTCTTTTTTTTAGTAGAAATAATAATCTAAGTCATCCATTAATAAATTCACGTACAACTTTATTATTCTTCTTTTGTTTATTGGTAGAACTTTAATTTTGTACATATTAAAAAGAAATTTTGATTTTTATGTATTTAATATTATAAATTTAAAAATTTATAATATTAACGTAACGTTCAAATTTTAATATTTACAATTTTATTTTTTTATTCTCAACTTGTAACATCCTTTGTAAAATAAAAATAAAAGTATAAGATATTCAAAAAAAAAAAAAAAACTTATTTACTGATATCCAAAAATGAAATATGAAAAAAAAATGGGATGGAAGGAATTTTTTTTCCCTTTAGCATAGAAACAGCACTTTTTTCTTCGTATTAAAGCTAAGTAAAAGTTTGATTATCTATGCATAACAACGAAAACTCAAATCTTCAACGTTGTGTCTTAAAGCAACTTTGAACAATACTATACTATCAATTCTATTACATAATAGAACATGCTGTGTTGAGTTCCGCATGGCGGTCCATATAGACAAAGGACATTTGCTGACAAACGGGACAGGTATCAGGATCATGGATTTCAGCCTTTGGATCAGGCTTCTTATTACCTTTCTTGGGTTCATCAGGTTTCTTTTGGGGTTCCTGTTTTGGAGGAGCAGGAGGAGGCCCAACACTGACCAGTTCAACAAATTTTCCTGCTTTTCTCGTGCGGACTATGATTTCGTATGGGTCAGCATCGCCTGTTACTGATATTGTTCCCTTGGCACTATCAACCTCAATCTTATCTACACCTGCGGATGATTGAAATTGAATATTCATGACAGTGGTTTTGTTGTTTGAACCCCTTTTCTTTCACTGATGAGAAATAGAGAATAAAAATGAAAGTTATTGTGTTAATTACCTTGTAGTCCGGAGATTGCCTTAAGAAGCTTCTTCTTGCTTTTATGGCTTGAGATATCAACCTTCAAGACAGTCTTCTTCACCATGGAAAAAAGCTACTCGATCTATAACTAAAATCTAAATCAGAAACAACTTTTTGGTTAGTATTTCTAGCAGTATTAACTTATTTAAGAGGAACTCAAAGGAGGAAGATCGATCGGCTGCATATCAGATTCTTAGATTGATCTCCCAAGGGAGGCTTGTCCTATTGCCTGGTTTGTCTTGAAACCATCAAACTATATTATAACAACTTTCACAGTGTCTTGGATTCTTATTTGGATTTGTAGCATTTGACCTCGAGTTCTATGTTTCTTGTTTGTATTTGGATCGATCTGCTTAGATTGGTTCTCCTTGTAGCCCACCAACATTCACCATTTGGTGCAATTTCACAATTTTTTTATACAAAGAAAGTCATAATAACTTGGAAATATACGAAAGACTTTAAGACGACGATAGATTTAAATTCTAAATTTATTAGATGTTATCTTTTAAAATTATTACATAAATCAATTAAACTAAACTTTAAATTCGCAATAACACTTGATTAAAAAGCCAAGAATCAAACTCATTGGAAGATTCAAACAATCTATTTATTGGTAAAGTGGAAACCCAAAATGAAAGTTGGTAATAATAAGTATGTCCCTAGTTAACTGTCCTTAAGCTAAAGGATAACAGCCATTAAACAAAATTTTGGTTGTAATATAGTATTAATTTTTCTTGATGGCAACCGAATGTGATTTTAAAGTTCTATTTAAGTCAATGATGAACATTTGTGCTGTTTTGTTGTGTTATTCGATTAAATGTTGATCAAGAGGTTTTCATTGGTTCAATAGGGATTTAATATTTTGGATTTGGTATCCTGTAAAATTACAATCAATTTTGCCCACTAAAGAAACAAATTATAGTTCATATTAAGGAAAAAAAAAGTATAATAAGATTTTTGTGATTCAGATGATCATTTTCCCTAGTTTAGATCTAGTGATCATATTATGAATTGAACAATCATAGCTATCTAATCTAATTTAAATTAAAGTCTTGACGTTAGTAATCGCATATTATCAAATCAAATACTCATATCTCATATAAAAGTTTTAATTAATTAACAAATTTTTAATTAATTACGAAAAGTAGCCTTGCAAAATTTTAACATACATATTGCTCATAATGGAAATTAATTTTTTTTCTCCGCATACTCAACTCAAACGTAGTGTAGAATGAGATTCATCTATAAAATTTAATCACAAATTATTAATAATGAGAATTTTTCATTTCTATTTTTTAATAATGTATGAATTTTTAAAATTGAATTATTGTCGATCAAACTTTGTGCCTGTGCACGCAAAATACATATAAATATATAAATATATATATATGTATATAGAAAAGATGGAGAGAGAGAGAGAGAGAGAGAGAGAGAGAGATATTGAAGATCCGATCTCCCCGATCACATGAAATAAGTGAATTAAATTTAAGAAAGGATTTCAAAAGAAAAAAAAAAAAAGAGGGTATCAATAAAGATAGGCAACTGAATTAATTCATCCTTGTTATAAATAGCAAAACATCAAAAAGTTTCAATAAAGTTGTTTGTTTCCTTGCAACCAATGAGAGTTTTAATTACATTTCTATGACATTATCCAATAACTAATTCCCCTAACACAACCAATTGTATCATCCTTTTTGTATTTGATTCATAATATTAGGTTTTGCCAAAATCACTTCATTTTAAATTCGATAAGTAATAAGAATTTTATGTTTTTATTTTTTGACAATATATAAATTTTCAAAATTGTATTGGTGGTCCATCAAGCTTCGCGTGCATGCATCCACACACAACATATATTATATATATATATATATATATATATATATAAAAGATGGAGAGAGACAATAATATCTATCTATTTACATTATTTTTTAATATTTTGATTAATATAAGAGAAAAAAAAGTTTTATGTAGCTAAAATTATTTAGATAAATTTTTATTAAAAATAAATCATAAATATGACATTGGTATCACGTGTCGTTATTTTTTTGGATGGAACATTAAAAATTGATAAATTGAAATGCTTGAATAAAATTTATATTTAATAAATTATAAATGTATAAATTCTATTAGATAATCAAATATAAATTCTTCTTCTATAATTCTCCAATGTTTGCGGAAATGCTGGGACAAAGTCGTGGTTGTTGTTTGTAAGCTCGTATCTAGCCAATAATAAGATAGTATTAAATACAAAACACGTTGAAAACGGAGTAACGGTGTCTTAAATACAATCATGAACACTGCCCAACTACCCGATTCCAAATAAAATATATAAGTAGGGCATGCAACGCTTATTATGAGCAAACAAATTAACCATTATCCCATATCTTGAGACCAGCTAACAAGAGATAGATACAGATCGAGATGGAAGTAGTTCAAGTGCTTCATATGAAAGGAGGAGTTGGAGAAACAAGTTATGCAAACAATTCTTTACTTCAGGTAATTAACCCTTCACATGTCAGATCGTTTGTCAATAACTTATATATATACTAAAATTTTTTTCTTTGAACTAATTTGGGAACAGCAAAAGGTGTTATCCATGACAAAACCAATCACAGATGAAGCCATAACTGAGCTCTATTGCAGTAGCTACCCTGAAAGCATAGCCATCGCAGATTTGGGTTGTTCTTCAGGACCAAACACTTTGTTTGTGGTATCTGAACTTATCAAAGTGGTGGACAGTATTCGCCAAAAGATAGGCCAAAAATCCCCCGAGTATCAAGTGTTTCTGAATGACCTTCCGGGTAATGACTTCAACACGATTTTCAGATCCTTGCCTAGCTTCCAAAGCAAACTGAAGAAACAACTTGGAGCTGGCAGTGGGCCATAATTTTTGGCTGGAGTGCCTGGTTCTTTCTATGGCAGGCTTTTCAGAAACAAGAGTCTGCATTTTTTACACTCTTCCTATAGTCTTCACTGGCTCTCTCAGGTTCAGTATTTGAAATTATATTAATGAAAAATGATAGTATCAGCAACCGTTTAAGAATGAAATTTGTAATTTTATGAGAGAACTATTTGCAATTCAGGTTCCTGAAGGGCTGGAAAGTAATAAAGAGAATATTTACATGGCTAGCACGAGTCCGGCAAACGTGCTTAAGGCATATTACGAGCAATTCCAGCAAGATTTTTCCTTGTTTTTGAAGTGTAGATCAGAGGAACTGGTGGCTGGAGGGCGCATGGTTTTGACATTTTTAGGGAGAAAAAGTGATGATCCTTCAAGCAAAGAGTGTTGCTACATTTGGGAGCTTATGGCCATGGCTCTCAATGATCTGGCGTTTGAGGTACATAGCTACATGGACAAAATTAATTCTATTCATGTAGGAATAGTCATTTTCTTGTCATATGTACTTGTTTCTTTAGATTTTGAGTAATGTCAGATCATTCCTGTGCTTAATTGGAGTGATAATGAAAAAAATGCAGGGACTCATAGAAGAAGAGAACTTGACTCCTTCAACATTCCTCAATACACACCATCTCCAACAGAGGTTAAATCTGAGGTGTGAAGGAAGGATCCTTCGCCATCCATCGCTTGGAGACTACTGAAGTGAATTGGAATGCATACCAGAATGAATTTGACTTGCCTGATGCATTCAAGGATGGGGGCTACAATGTTGCAAACTCCATGAGAGCTGTGGCTGAGCCATTGCTTGCCAGCCACTTTGGTGAAGCAATCATTTAAGAGGTGTTCCGGAGGTACAAAGAAATCGTTGCTGATCGCATGTCCAAAGAGAAAACTGAGTTTGTTAATGTGACTATTTCCCTTTTAAAAGTTTGAATCATCTTCAATTTTTTAGATCAATCATCAGAACTGGCGCTGCCCTGAAAAACCCTTTATTAGTTCTGATAATAATAAAGGGTTCGATACACTAAATATTATATATATTATATTTATATTATATTTTACTTAAAAATTATATATCATAATTTATATCGATATAAAAATAAAAAATATATATTTTTATTCTATTAAATTTATATATAAATTTTATTAAAATTTTAAATCATATTATTTTTATATCTTTTATTTATATTATTTTTATATTATCGTATCATATTTTAGAATCTTATTTTATATATTAAATGGTAAAATTTTATCTTTTACTTGCTCCCTTTCTTTTTTAAATTGAAAGGACACGTAGTCTAAGCATGCAAGTACGTGCTTTTCAACTGATTATTCTTGGAAAAATACATCAAATTAAGAACTATTCTTTATCAATTGTGTGTTTGTCAAAACATTGGTTGTATATATAAAAATACATATAACAAATACTTAGGCTATAACCTATACCTTATACCCTAGAGGTCTTGATGAACATATATAATATAACCGGTCCAAACGAGCCATAGGTTTTGAACTTATTTATAACATCAAATTAAGTCTTTTAAATTCATTAATGATCTCTTTTCTAAAGTTAAAAAATAAAGCAAAGAGAAAAAAAATTATATACAAATTGGTTAAAAATACATAAATAAAAAAAAAACAATTAAAAGGCACAAGTAAGCATTTAAATATAATTACTTGTCTTTACATGTAAAATGAAGTTTCCTTTTTTCACCAAAAAAAGTTTATCTTATTTATTAATAAAAAAATCAGCATTTTTTTTTAATTTTAAATTGTTCAAAAATAATTTTATTTATTTTTATTAAGAGTGTTCTTAACATACTCCTTAAAGTTTGTTAATGTATTATTTATTGTAATATTTTTTTATTAAATACAACAATAATTAACAATTAATACAATAATTTTTAATGTTTTAAAAAATTATTTAATATGATAATTTTTTTTTTTAAATATTCCTGGTCCTGTCAGATCCCAAGGTTTTCTGGAGAGACTTTGGTCTGAAATTTAATTGCATGTAGGATAGGAAGGTGGCTATAGTGATGTCAACCATCCGAGATTCAAAACCTAGGTTATCCGAAAAAAAGCCATGGTGTCTCCCATCGTGCTTACTCAATTTTCAGCAGACCACTTTCGTTCGAGAGGCAGGCCACTGCCTATCTAGTCATTGCTTTATATCAACGTACAGTTTTCGTATCATTGGACGCAACATGCATGTGTTGTTTGCCACTACGAAAGATATTCTTTCTGCTGGGTATCTCAAACCAAATTTTAGAGCCTAAATATGCGGATACAAAATTTGATGAAAACCATGCAATCTTTACTAGCTATTCATTGGAGAATTTGAGATTTAGATTGCACCATTATCATCTCTGTCAAGATATATAGGCAAAAACATAGTTTTAGATAAGGTTTTACTAGCCATCCATCTCTGGCACCTTTATATTATTGGGAGAAATGGGCTCAGAGTCAAAACCAAAGGGCTTAATACAATTATTGTTCAAGCCAAAACGTTAATTCATACTTACATCATGAAAGAAAATGCACGTTCTTGTCATGTGCAACAAGTCAACACTTTCAAAAGAACATCAATTTTCCCAATGCGTGGACAAAGGCTAGTCCCGTGAAGAAAGCGAAGAAAAAGATGTGGTGGGGAAGGAAACAGAAAGAGAAAAATATTTCGTCGCCTAGGGCAAGAGGACAGTGAATGACACCAAACGCATTAATTATATGTCGCATATGGGATGGGAAGAAGCAAAAAAGCCTGGGAAAAAGGCAAAAGCTAAGGTAAAAAGATGGTGCCTGAGATCATGGGTCACTGCACCCACAGAGATTTCCTTGTCTTTTCCTTCGTATCTTGTTTGTGCTCCTCTTTGTGGGGTGCATATGCCGGTACTGGTTGTAATGGACTATGACAGACCCATTTGAATCTTTGGCAAGACAATCAATCTATAACATATATTTAAGGAAAAAGAAACGAGTAAACCAAATTGGGTAATCTTCCTCATAGTATACTCTCGATGTTTATCAGATTATGCTCTCTATTTCACCAAGATGAATGGATGAATGATTCGGAGTTTAAGTATTCAAAAAGAAAAATGAAGGGTTGAATCAGTTATAAAATCAGAAAAGAGACAGGCATGACTTTGATGAATTTATCCAAGAACAAAAGTCATTTTTCTACACAGCTAAGAACACATTGATAAGCACTTAAACTCAATCACTATGAAATCCTTAATCTCCTTTTATATATGGTCTTTAGCCTTTCCATTCTATTCTCTCCATTCAAAAACTGCTGAGGCCTTTTGACTTGGTCAGGCTGGCTGGCTACCTAGAAAATGGTTAGTGCCCTAAATCCTGATTGTGCTGGAGCCTTGAGGTCCCTGACCATTTGTCCATCTTTTGTACGTCCAAGAAGAATCCCTACACGCCAATCAAAGTTAAACTGGATTTGATAAACTCAGTTGCTTTCTAGACTAGTGGGACTCTGGTAAAGTTGAGATCACTTAATCAATACCAATACAAGACAGCACTTAAAAAAGACATGACTCTCATAATCAAGACTTCAAATGCTACACAAACTCTTACCACCAATTGCTTCAAAGTAAGACCACTGTTATGGCCAACAACGTGATTCAAACCAGAGTTGAAAGTAGCATTGGCAAATGGCAATTTACAGGACATATAATTGAGCCTACTTAACACTTTGAGAAGAGGAATTTAAAGCACCGGCAACTTTTACAATAAAAAATTGCTCATAAGAAAGAGGTGCAATGCACCTAACAATCCTCCTTTAATGGTAATCTCTTTCAACTGTTGCAGGTTCACGCCCCAATGTGGCAAGATAATACATGACAGAAATAATTGCATTTTCAACCGATGTGAACTAGATGATAATTGCATTTTTATTTCAATTCAAGCAATTACTAACAATTTCTCCAACTATAAACACATCTTAAACCTGTTTTAGGTGAACAAATCCAATTAAAATATCTCATCCACAAAAAAAAATTAACTCTGTTAAATTTTTGAAGATACCAAACTTTCTGATTTAGCTCCATAGATTTTGTAGGGTATATAAAGTATGATTGGAATTATCTTCTTCTTTTTCATGCAAATTAAGCTGTAATTTACACATTTTCAAGACTTTGAATGGTTGTCCCATCAAAAACCAAAAAGGAGCACTAACAAATTTGAGATAGGCTTGCGTTCAGGAGCGGCCCCTGCCACGATGGTATAATCATCGTGATAAAATGTAACCTGAAAAACCATGATAAGTAATATATATTAAGAAAACAAAAAAAAAAAACTCCAAAGTAAACGACTTTATCATTGATTTTTGCCTTTAAAAGGAGACCAAAGCCAGCACCCACTACTTCTAATTCACTAGTAAGCTGGATTCTAACAAACATGGATGTAGAGAAAGTCTTTCACATGACTGGAGGAGTCGGCAAGACTAGCTATGCCCAAAATTCTTCTCTCCAGGTTTAGCCTTCCCTTCTCTCTCTCTCTCTTTCTCTCTCATCATTTTCGGGCATTTTCTTTCTTCTAACTATGTCTCCTTCTTGACTGTTTTTTTAAACAGAAGAAGGCATCAGATATGGTGAAACATATAACCATGGAAACAATACAAGAACTTTACTACGCAGAAACCCCGAAGAGCTTAGGCATAGCTGATTTGGGCTGCTCTTCCGGACCCAACTCATTATCCCTCATCAAAGATATTGTTGAAGTTGTTGAAGGAACTAGCCATAAAATTTTTCATCCCCTACCAGAATTTCGAGTATTCCTTAATGATCTTCCAACAAATGACTTCAATTCAGTGTTTAAGTCCTTGCCTGATTTCTATAGGGACCTTAAGAAAGAGAGAAATGAAGGGGGGCCTGCTATTTTCATAGCCGGCTACCCTGGTTCGTTTTATGGAAGACTGTTTCCGAACAATTGCTTGCACTTCATCTATTCATCTTACAGTTTGCACTGGCTTTCCAAGGTGAGATTCTCTGTTCCATTATTTTCCTTACCCTAAATCTCCGAAACTTTGAGTTACTTAGATTTCTATTCGACTCCATGAAATGAACCGATGACAAACCAAGGATCAAGAAAGTTGTTGTGATAGTCACTTCAGCACTGCAAGTACTGAAGTACAAACTATAAAAGCAGCTTAACAAACAAAAACCCAGCAGTAATTGGCCAAGTGATTTGTGCCTTGGGTCAAAGCGACCATATTTCTTCCAAACTCTTTGTCTTTTCTCAAGTAATTATGCATGTACCAAAATTTCATCTCTTGATTCTTTTCTTTCTTTGATAAGCTGACAAGAATTTCAATCAATCACTATACGCCATGCAGGTTCCTCCAGCTCTTTACGATGAGCATGGCAAGTCTATCAACAAAGGAAACGTTTACATTTCGGTATCGAGCCCTCCAATTGTGTCCCAAGCATACTGGAACCAATTCCAAGAGGACTTTTCATTGTTCCTGAAATCACGATCAGAAGAGCTAGTCACAGGCGGGAGAATGGTACTCATTGTACTGGGAAGAATAGGCCAAGATCATGTTGATAGAGGCAATTCTTTCTTTTGGGAAATTCTCTCAAGATCCCTTGCCATATCTGTTTCCCAGGTCCCATAATTTTGGCATCTTGATCATGTAATTGATCATATACATTCATATATCCCTTCTTGTTGACACCATACATCTTTCTCCTATGTTTTTCCAGGGAGAAATTGAACAAGAAAAGCTTGATTGTTATCATGTGCATTTTTATGCCCCATCAAAAAATGATATAGAAGATGAAGTGAGACGAGAAGGTTCCTTCGAATTGGACAGGCTAGAGATGTTT